GAACATAGCTGCACCATTGTTTGGGGCATATATATTTATGATTGTTATGTCTTGTTGGTGTATGGTTCCCTTGAGCAGTATGTAGTGTCCCTCTTTATCCCTTTTGATTAACTTTGGCTTGAAATCTATTTTATTTTATATGAGTATGGACACTCCTGCTTGTTTCCGAAGTCCATATGAGTGATATGATTTTTCCCAACCTTTCACCTTCAGTCTATGTATGTCTTTTCCTATCAAATGCATCTCCTGTAGGCAGCATATTGTTGGATCTTTTTTTTTGATCCATTCTACTATTCTACTAGCTTGTGTCTCTTAATTGGTGAGTTTAAGCCATTAACATTTAGGGTTATTATTGAGATATGGATTGTTCTTCCAGCCATATTTGTTTATTTATGTTACTTAACATGGTTTGTTTTTCCTCTTTGATTATTTTTTCCCTTTACTGTACTACCTCCCACTGTTGGTTTTCATTGTTATTTTCCATTTCCTCTTCCTGTGATGTTTTTCTGAGGATGTTTTGAAGAGAGTTTTCTAACTGCAAATTCTTTTAACTTTTGTTTATCGTGGAAGTTTTTAATTTCATCTTCCATCCTGAAGCTTAATTTCGCTGGATACACAATTCTTGGTTGGAACCCATTTTCTTTCAGTGTTTGAAATATGTTGTTCCAGGATCTTCTAGCTTTCAGAGTCTGTTTTGAAAGATCAGCTGTTATTCTGATTGGTTTACCCCTAAATGTAATCTGCTTCCTTTCTCTTGTAGCTTTTAAAATTCTCTCCTTATTCTGTTTGTTGGGCATCTTCATTATAATGTGTCTAGGTGTGGATCTCTTATGATTTTGCACATTCGCTGTCCTGGGATTCTGTCTCATTCTTCAAGTCTGGGAAGTTTTCTCGCATTATTTCGTTGAACAGATTGCTCATTCCTTTGGTTTGGACCTCTATACCTTCCTGTATCCCAGTGACTCTTAAGTTTGGTCTCTTTATGTTATCCCATATTTCTTGGATGTTCTGCTCATGGTTTCTTAAGAGTCTTGCTGAGCTGTCTATGTTCTTTTCAAGTTGAAATACTTTGTCTTCATTGTCTGATGTTCTATCTTCTAAGTGTTCTACTCTGCTGGTAGTATTCTCATTTGAGTTTTTAATTTGGTTTATTGCTTCCTGCATTTCTAGGATTTCTGTTTGTTTTTTATAACCTCTATTTCCCTGTATAGTTGATCTTTTGCTTCTTGGATTTGTTTGTGTAATTCATTGTTGAAGTGATCTTTCATTGTCTGATTTTGCTGTCTAATGTCTTCCTTGAGACTCTAGATCATCTGAAGCATGTATATCCTGAATTCTTTATCTGACATTCCATCTGCTGCAGATATTACCTCTTCTGAAGTTGAGTTGACCTGCATTGCTTGTAGTCCTTTCTTTCCTTGTCTTTTCATACTGCTCGCGTTTCTTTCTGCTTGGTGAAACTGTTGTGTTATTGAATTTTCCCCCTATATATTTATATTGCTCTTGTATAGTTGCAAAGTCTCCCGTGAAGGCGCGGGTGGCGGCTGTGCTCCTCCTCCAATTGGGGTGATCTGTCTATCATGCCAGCGGGCCGCTGGGCCCCTTCTCTGTTTCGCGTGGTCTGCCTACCTTGCGGGCAACGGCTGGGCCCCTCCTCCAATAGGGGTGATCTGACTACCATGCTCTCAGGCCGCTGGGCCTGTTCTCCAGGTTGCAGGTCTGCCTACCTTGCAGGCGCAGGCGGCGGCTGTGCCTCTCCTCCAATTGGGGTGATCTTTCAACTAGGCCGGCAGGCCATTGGGCCCCTTCTCCGGGACGTGCGGTCTGCCTACCTTGCGGGTAGCAGCTGGGCCCTTCCTCCAGTTGGGGTGATGTGTCTACCACGCTGGCGGGCTGCTGGGCCTGTTCTCCCGGTCGGTTGCAGGTCTGCCTACCTTGCAGGCGCGGGCGGCGACTCTGTCCCTCCTCCAATTGGGGTGATGTGTCTACCACGCCGGCGGGCCTCTGGGCCTGTTCTGCCGGTCGGTCACAGGTCTGCCTTCCTTGCAGGTGCGGGCGGTGGCTCTCAAAGGATATATTTTTTAAAAAATATTTTTTAGTTATACATGGACACAATATTTTTATATTGCTTATTTATTTTTATGTGGTGCTGAGGATTGAACCTGATGCTTCTCATGTGTGAGGCAAGTGGTCTGCATCTGAGCCACAACCCCAGCCCAAAAGGATATATTTTTATTGGTACATTATAATTATGCATAATAGTAGAGTTCATTATGCTGTACTTGTACATGTGAATAGCATAATTTGATCAGTCTCATTCCGTAGTACTTTTCCTTCCCCTCACTCCATTCCTTCTTTCCTTCCTTCCTTAGGGCACTTAACCACTGAGTCACATCCTCAACCCTTTAAAAAATTTTTTATTTTGAGACAGGATCTCACTAAGTTCCTTAGCCCTTGCTAAATTGTTGGGGCTGGCTTTGAACTTAAGGTCCTCCTTCAACATTCTGAGCCCATGGGATTACAGGTGTATACCACCAGGCCTGGCTAGTAACTTTCCTTTCTAAAGAGATAGTTTTTAAATAGACACTTAAAATATTTGTTGTCTTCCAGGCATTATTCTAATCGCTTATATTTTTAAACAAATATTTAATTTATGTACTGCTTTTAGCAACCTAAGGCTGGCTTTGAACTAGTGATTCTCCTGCCTCAGCCTCCCAAGCTGCTGGGATTACAGGTGTGTGCCACCATGCCCAGGTAGAATTCATTTTTTACTGCTTTCCTCTTTGCTTATATGAATCTCTTAAGAATTAAGTGAGAATTAACATTCCTACCATCACACTCTACCTTACATTTAAATTCCTAGTATAGTAGCATGGACCAGAATATTTTTTTTTTTTTTTTTTTTGGTACTGGGGATTGAACCCCAGGGGTGCTTAGCTGAGCTACATCCCCAGCCCTTTTAAAAAAATATATTAGAAACATGGTCTAGCTGAGTTGCTAAGTGCCTCCCCAGCTGCTGGGATTACAGGCATCTGTGCCCCCTCGCCTGGCTCTGAATACCTTTTTTAACTCTAGACCTCACTTCTTATGAATATATGAAATGGAGCAAAAATAGAAGGACTGATCTCATGGTGGTTATGGTGGTTGAACTAGTCTTTGTCTCTTTGTTTGGTATCCAGAAGTTTTATACCCCAAGGCCATGCCTCAGGGTAAAATTTAGAATGGGTGAAGGTTGTTTCATTCTTATATAAATGGTAGAATTGGGACTGAAAGATCTAAGCTCTGGCATGTTCTCATGTAGATTAATTTGAGAAAAAGCTTCTTGTACAAGATATAAATCTGGAAATTGATTTTCTTTAGAAATTTATGGTATTGTTCTTAAGAAAGTCTTAATTATATATATTCCATATTTTATAAACATATACTGTAGAAAGTCCGAAATGCATGTTTTCTAATTTGAAAAGCAGTCTTTACAGGATATGATTTTTCAAATGTGTAGTATTTCACCTAATGAGTGGTACTGAGGACTTTGTGGATCATCTGAAAGCAAGTGTGGACAAAGGAAAAATTGACCTTTTTCTGACACCTGGTGGCAGCAACTGAGCATTGTAAATGTCCTTGGCTTGCTTTAGATTTAATCTAGTTTGGGGAACTCTTTAACACTTACCATAGTGCTCCCTATTCTTTTTGTTTTTCTTCTTCAAATATGAGTAAATTTGTTCAAAATGAACACAAAAAAGATTGTATGGAAATTCTCTGCATAGTAAAATTTTCAACCCTCAACCTTTTATTATTTATTTATTTATTTAAAAAAATTTAAAAATATTTATTGTTAAGTTTTAGGTAGACACAATATCTTTATTTTACATTTATGTGGTGCTGAGGCTCAAACCCAGTGCCTCGTGCATGCTAGGTGAGCACTGTACCACTGAGCTACAACCCTAGCCCCTCAATCTTTTATTTTTTTAAAAAAGATTTAAAAATTTTTTGTTGTTGTTGTAGATGGACACAATACCTTTATTTATTTATTTTATGTGGTGCTGCGGATCAAATCCTGTGCCTCACACATGCGAGGCAAGCTCTCTCCCACTGAACCACAATCCCAGCCCCTTAACCTCAACCTTTTAAAACCATATGTACATTTTTATACATTTGCTGTCTACATCATTCAGGAAATTAAGAGAGTTACTATAGTATGAGGTTAATCGACATATTCTTTAATAAAATAGTATCTTGAAGAGGTTGGGAGTTGTGAATAAAATCAGACTTAAAAGCCTTGGAATAAGAATGGTCTGTTGTTGGGGCTGGGGATGTGGCTCAAGAGGTAGCGTGCTCGCCTGGCATGCATGCGGCCCGGGTTCGATCCTCAGCACCACATACAAACAAAGATGTTGTGTCCTCCTATAACTAAAAAATAAAATATTAAAATTCTCTCTCTCTCTCTCTCTCTTTAAAAAAAAAAAAAAGAATGGTCTGTTGCATTGGAACTAATATTTGATATTGTTCGAAGAATTTCTAGATGCATACTGTGCCAATGTCACACAATTGTAATGAACCTAAGAGTTATAAACCAAGTCAAAGGGTCCAGTAGTGACTGTTCAAGAGACCATCAGAAAAATGTGTCATGAAGCAAGTTCATTAGATCCAGTACACTAAGGAGACCCTCTCCCACACAATTGTGTTTCAGAGTAGGACAATTAGGATGTTTATAGGATTTTAGGACCTTGGCTGAGTCATTTTAAGGTAGGTAGCCATTGGGGATTGGGCCATTGTGGATGGATACAAGAAGGCAAGGGTTTTGAAACAAGTCTTGATATGTAAGTTGTTTAGTTGGTTTCCAAGAATCTTCTGTGTTGTATTTCCCAGATATATCCTGGAGCTAAGTCATTTTTGTACAGCCTCAGTTTGTTTAACACTAGGACAAATAAATTATATTGGATTTTGTTCTCTTTTAAAAGTAAGATCTAAATTAATTTACATGAATCATTGGTTTGTTTCAGCTTTGCCCGAAGTTTTTACATACAAATTCTACTAGTCATACTTGGCCATTCAGTGCAGTTGCTGAATTAATAGGTATGTAAATTGACATTTCATATATTATCTGTTGCTTGCACTTACAGTTTTAAAACTTTATTGAATAATAATATACGAGTGTACTTCAAAAATTTTTATCTTTAATAATATTAGTAGTAAGGCTTACCTAGCATAACAATTATGCAAAAGGGAGTCAAAATCACTGTTTTATTTTCCTTATAATATTACCCAAGTATTTCATAACATTTAGGATTCAATTTGCTAAGTTTGTACAGTGTTTATATTGAAAACATTTTCATTCTGATTATCAAAGTTAAAAATGAGAATTATGCTTCTCAATATATACTGAGTATATAATAGAGAATGTATATAATATATAGAATGGATTCGTTTTTCTGGTGTTACGAAGATTAATATGTTAGATTTGTGATAATAAATTCTTGCTTCATCCAAAAGATAGGATGAGCAGGGTCAAGGATTTTTATATATGTATGTACGTACGTATATATGTTTTGCTGTATGGGGCTTGAACCAAGAACCTTGTACATGCCAAGCAAGCACTCTACCCCAAAGCTACATTCTTGGCCCTCTGTTTTTGTTTTGAGAAAAGGTCTCACTAAATTGTTGAGACTGGCCTCGAACCTGCAGTCCTTCTGCCTCAGCCTTCCTAGTCACTGGATTATAGACGTGAACTACCACATCCATCTAGGATTTTATTTTAATAGTGTTGTAATGAACATTAAAAGAGGCAGGGTTGCAGTCAGATTTGCATTATGGGGTCATGATTCATGCAGATGAATATTTTTTAGGATTTTAGTATATGTTTTAAAAATATAGTAAAAGGACACTTTATTCTTAGGTATAATTAAATTCCTTATCAAGGAAGGATCCATGTGCAAGGAAAAGAAGGACTTTTTGAACAAGCACTTTTCTTTGTTATAGTTAGGTTTTTCCAAGTATTCCAACTAACACATGTATTTGGGTGATCCCCCCCCCCCGCCCCAATTCTTGGAGTGGGTTTGCTTTAACATTGTAGTTCTTATTTTTATGGCATCCTGCTTCCCATGACTTTCATGGCACTGTTTGGGGTATACCCCATTTTAAGTTTTTTTTTTTTTAATTTTTTTTTTAGAGAGAGAGAGAGAATTTTAATATTTATTTTTTAGTTTTCGGCGGACACAACATTTTTGTTTGTATGTGGTGCTGAGGATCGAACCTGGGCCGCACGCATGCCAGGCGAGTGCACTACCACTTGAGCCACACTCCCCAGCCCAGCATTTTAAGTTTTTAATAAAATAGTATCTTGAAGGGGTTGGAAGTAAAAAGATTATTTAATTCTAGGCTGCTTTGTAGGCAGATAATTGAAAATATCTATAATACCTATAATAAGGTCTTCAAAATATATTTTGATTGGTTAAGGAATATTCAGATGAATCACCAGTTGATTTAATTTCTGGTACCATTAAAAAATCTTGGGTTGGGGCCGTGGCTCAGAGGTAGAGTGCTTGCCTACTATACATGAGGCACTGGGTCCGTTCCTCAGCACCACATAAAAATAAAATAAAGATGTTGTGTCCACCTGTAACTAAAAAATAAATATTAAAAAAAACTTTTGTTTTTAAATGTATTCCTTTATACTTACATGGTCTAAGAGAAATGAGTTGAGCTAAACAAGGATGTTAAATATACAATAATAGAAATAAAAGCCAAAGAAACTTTTGTTAAACTGACAAGGGCTATGACTGTAGCTTATATATATGAATATGTAGCTTAACAGAAAATGGAATTGACTTTTCATTTATTTAATAAATGTTATGTACCTTCCATGTTAATTCATAGTGCTAGTTGACACTCAATTCTCAGTTTCCCTTATGATAGCCAGGCTGATCCTTCTCTTAATCTTCTCTGGGTTCAGTGATGTTTTACACTAATTTAGTGTGACAGGTACCAGTCTTTGCTCTATACTTAATATGAAGAGCTGTAGAAAGGATTAATTCTGCAGTAGACAATGAATATAGTTTCCTGTTTCCAAACCTTATGAATTCCTAAAAATTGTAGCTTTTAAAGTAGTCCTAAATGTGGTAATCTGTTGCTTGTTAAAGGATTGTTCTAATTGTTCTTTAAAATGCAAACTCAAAATTTCTCAAAACCTTTTGTGTCCCAGATAATGCTTATGATCCTGATGTGAATGCTAAACAGATATGGATTGACAAAACAGTGATAAATGACTGTATATGCTTGACATTCACTGATAATGGGAACGGTATGACATCAGATAAATTACACAAAATGCTAAGGTATGTAAAAATGTGCCACACATCTGAAGATCAAGGCTTTAAGTAGTTAAAAAATTCAATGTGTCATACTTTGTATCCTGTTTTGGTTTTTTTAAACATGAAATTTCATACACTCGGTGTGAGTGATTGCCTTCTGACCATATTTCTATTAAAACTTACCATGGGGGGCTAACTTTAAATAGATTGAGAGATTGAGAAAGCAGCATAAAGTAGTCCTAAGGTCTTGGGCTATAGGATCAGAGAATAGGATGCCAGTGTGAATCAAATGTGTCTGAAATGGAAACAGACTGTAGTATAGATACAGGGTAGAAGAAAAATTTAGAAGCATAGGCCTTTTGTTATCCCTTAAATGTTATGCTGCCAAAAGGTTTAGTTGATCCCATCATTAATCATATCACAGTAGGCTTGCTGAGAACAAGAGAATCATGAACACTTAGAGGAAGAGGTTCATGGGGTAAAATCTCAAGTCCCAGGACCCCAGATTATAACTCGGCCAACTAATTGACCAGGATGTGCCGGCAGCGAGCTCCTGTATTAGTACCTGTAATTCTTACACCCCTGTGATATAGATTTGATTTCCTTTGCTTCAGAGATGGGAAGATACATCAAGATAGATTAAAAGTAAGTGCCCAAGATGATATAGTCAGGAAGCTGAGGCCAGTATTTGGACCCAGGCTTTTTTAACTTGGTATTATACTTGCTGAATTTGAAAAAATTGAAGATTATGAGTGTTTATTTTTTAAATTTTTTCTTTTTCTTTTAGCTTTGGCTTCAGTGACAAAGTCACCATGAATGGTCATGTCCCGGTTGGATTGTATGGGAATGGCTTCAAGTCAGGTTCTATGCGTTTGGGTAAAGATGCAATAGTTTTTACCAAAAATGGAGAAACCATGAGTGTGGGCTTCTTGTCTCAGACCTACTTGGAAGTCATAAAAGCAGAACATGTTGTTGTTCCAATAGTGGCATTCAACAAACACCATATCCTTTTGATTTTGAAATAGAAGCTGTGGCGAAACTGAAAAAAATATTGGGAAGCATTCTACCCTTTTGCCTTTCTTCAGATTCTTGTTTTTTAATCACACCTATTCCAGTTTTTGTCTGTGTCAACTGCCTTTAACCCTACACCTGAAGCTCAGGGTTTGTTCTCTTTATTGGAATTGTGCTATGGAAATCCTGAATGTTAAGGTAGTTACATTTAACGTTAAATTATTTTCAAGGGCTGGGGGGATAACTTAGTGGTTATTGTGAACCTAGCATGAGTGAGACCCTGGGTTTGATCCCCAGCACCATAAAAATAAACAAACAACTTTTTCCATAGCTCTCCTTTTTATTTTAGGTTTATTATGGATTAGTAAAGACTTCTGTGGTATGACTTGAAAATTTTGCTAATGATTATGAAAAGCAAGATAACTTTAGAAAAATTTTCTGACACATTGAAATATTGGAAGGCATTAAATTAAATTAGTAATAATATTAATAAACTTAATTTTTATCCTTTCTGATATTCATTTGAAATCAAACTGTCATTTTAAAATTTTGAAAATACTTGAGAATATATTTTTCTGCTATTTATTAAAGTTAGTTTACATACTATATTTGTGAAAAGCATGTTGGTGATCTGAGTCTTTAACCAAGGACATACGTCAGATGATTAATTTAGCAGAATCAAAAGCAAGCCTTGCTGCGATTCTGGAACATTCTCTGTTTTCTACGGAACAGAAATTACTGGCAGAACTTGATGCTATTATGGGTAAGAAGGGGACAAGGATCATCATTTGGAATCTTAGAAGGTAAATGTAGACCCCAGCTAGTTGGTGACCATTTGGGAAGTAAAGTACATGTTTACGGTTGGTTTCATTAAGTACATTCATTATTACACAAAGAAGAAATACATGGAAAGGTAATTTTGGTATAGTTAATGATTTATCTTTCTCAGGATATTTTACTGAAGTCACTTTGGATTCAATTTGAAATACTAGAAAAGAATTCCTGTTTATGCCACTCAATCTCCATTAGCACTCTATTTTCAACCATTCTGCCTCTCTTCTCAAAAAAAAAGAAGAAGAAGAAGAAGACAAAAGTCCCAGGAACAAGTTCAGCTTATAGAAATCTTCCATTTTTGTCCATTAAAGCTAAGCATGATCTAGCATCATAGATGAGATTTTTGTGTGTGTGTTGCTAAACTTTATGATTCTTTATCCATTCAAGGATAAAAATATTTGTAAATAAAAGCTTTAAAATTTAAGAACAATTTGTTTCATTGAGATATCTAAAGATATACTGAACCATAGGAATAAAGCACAAATAGCAGTAAGTCTAAAGAACTTTAAAACTGCTTTGAGCCAGGCATGGTGGTGTACACCTGAACTACCAGTGACTTGGGAGGCTGAGGCAGTAGGATCACAAGTTCGGGCTAGCCTAAGCAAACTCAGCAAGACCCTGTCTCAAAATAAAAAGGACGGGGGTGTAGCTCAGTGGTAGAGCACCCCTGGGTTCAGTCCCCAGTACTGAGGGGAAAAAAAAAGTGTGCTTTTTGATGGTGTGGGGGGGTCATAAATAATAAAATTTGTGCTTTTCTGACTTATTGAATTTCCTTTTTCTTTTTTTTTTCTTCTTGCTTTTACTTCCTCGTCCTTCCTCCTGGATTTTTTTTTTCTTTTTTCAGATGTATTTCCATCTGAGGTTTCTGTTAGAGGTTTCAGAAGATCATTGTAGATTTTCATGTGCAGTTCTAAGAAATAATAGAGCTCATATACCCAGTTTTCCTAATGGTAACATCTCACAGTAGTGCTGTTGATCGTGGCAGGATATTGTCATTGATGCAGTCTAAGTAGAGGACACTTTCATCATCACCAGAATCCCTCATGTTGCCTTTTTATAGCCACACCTACATTTTCTTAATAACTGTCAATCTTTGTTCTGTCCCCTTTCTATAATTTTTTTTCATTTCACATAGTGTTATATAAATGAAATCATACAATGTAAAACCTTTTGGCTTTTTTCACTAACGTAATTCTCTTATCGTTTTACATTGCCACCAGCAATGTGTGAGTGGTAGAGTTTCCCTAATCTTTGGAATTCCTTTTATTTTATACTTGTCCCTCTCATGAAGTCTACTGGGTGTGAGTTTATTTTGTTTTTTTCCTAAGGATAGTATTTGATGCTTATCTTGTCTGAAGTTAAATTTTGCTGCTTTCTGAAAATTACTTTTACAGCTACAAAAATGCGACGGAGTTTGATTTTGAAAAGGATAAATATGACATCAGAATTCCTGAGGATTTAGATGAGGCATCGGGGAAGAAAGGGTACAAGAAGCAAGAAAGAATGGACCAAATTGCCCCTGAGAGTGACTATTCCTTGAGGGTATGTATGCAGCTCTCTTCATGGAAATGAGAAAGTCATGGAGTAAAGGAATTATTAGCAGACTTACAGTACCCCCTGTTTTTCTAAAGGTTGGCAGTGATGTCTATAGGAAAGCATTGCAGAAAGAACTGATATATAAGTTTTCATTGACCCACTGGTTGTTTCATTTGCTTAGAAAACCTTGTAATTGCAAAATCATCAGATCTAACAGTGCTTAATAGTTTTTACTATGTGCTTAGATTCTTTGAATTGACGTTGTTGGAATCAGCATATTTTATGATGGCTGTACTGATTTTTTAATTTTTTTTTCGAGGTGCTGGGGATTGAACCCAGGGCCTTGTGCATGCTAGGCAAGCACTCTATCTACTGAGCTATATCCCCAGGCCTGTACTGATTATTTTATCAAAAAATACCAAAATGTTTTAAACCATTTTTTTAAAATATTTTTTTTGTTGTAGTTGGACACAATACCTTTATTTTATTTATTTATTTTTATGTGGTGCTGAGGATCGAACCCAGGGCCTCGCATGTGCGAGACAAGTGGTCTACCACTGAGCCACAACCCCAGCCCCTAAACCAATTTTTATAATACTATAGAATACTCACTATACCTTAATTATCATCCTGAAGAGAGTATATATTAATATAGTTTTATGATAAATATCTCTTGAGATTTGACCTTAGAACTGGCTTTGATTTTTTTGTTTTGTTTTGTTTTGTTTTGTTGCTGGGGATAAAATCCAGCACGTGCAAGGCAAGCATCAGCCTACAAATGGGTATGTTTCTAGACTGAAGAAATGAAAATCTCAATTTAACAGTGTTATATAAGAATATTAAATTTCTTAGTATAAGACATGATAATAATGTTTTTGGTATATTTTTATGTGCTAAAATTTTATGTGTTAAAATTATGTAGTAACTAGAACCTGAGAATCTGTTCGACATTTACATGTTTTACCATGTGGTTTCATAATTATAAACCTATCAATTACTGTAATCTGAAATGTATTATTCTTGTTGCTGTGGGATGCCATAGCTGTTTAAAAAATCTTTCTCAAATATAAACCAGATCCAGAGGCAGCCAGGGGATTTGATTTGAATACACTAGACGTACAGTATTTTAAGATGTTAATCGTGTGTGTGTGTGTGTGTGTGTGTGTATGTTTGTGTGTGTATTGGGGATTGAACCCAGGGTCTTGTGTAAGAGGCAAACATTCTACCAACTGAGCTATTAATGAATTTTATAAATGACAAACACCACTTCTTTTGAACTTGGGAATTAGGGAAAAAAAGAAATGGTCAGTTAGGTTTGTATTGAAGCTTTCATCTTTTCTTTGTGAGTTACTCATGTATTTCCATCTGAGGTTTCTGTTACAGGTTTCAGAAGATCATGTTGTAGGGGCTGGGGTTGTGGCTCAGTGGTAAAGTGCTTGCCTAGCATGCGCTAGGCACATGGGTTCGATCCTCAGCACCACATAAACATAAAATAAAGATATTGTGTCTACCTAAAACTTAAGAATAAAAAAATATAGATCATGTTGTAACATGTTTTAGGTCTGAAGTTTGGTCAGATTTATTAAGTATCTCAACATTTATATATTAAGAACTGAAAACATACTTTGACCATAGCTCAGTTTTGAAAAAGCGCCATATTTCTCTGTTCTGCTTATGCATTGGTGCATTATTTAGAATTTTTTACTTGTCAAGCCTATATAATTTTCTCTGAATTATATTAGATCCTGCTCATTATTTTATTTTTGAATTTTAGGTCATTGGATTGTTATCTCCGTATCATTTTTTCTGACCACAGTTTAGTGAAAATAATCAAATTAGAATAATTGTACCGCTTTGAAATCTATGTTATTGCTGTTACTATTTTTTGACTCTGGGGACTTAATTCAGGGGCCTTGTATATGCTGATAAATACATGGTTTACCATTGAGTTATATACCTCCAGCTCTACAATATGTATTATTTTACTGAAATGGTGGTATGTCTGTTCTTAAAGCAAGGCGATAACTTTCTGTTTAAAGCTACATCAAAATAATGTTGAATAAACCTGTAGATAATTATTTAGAAAGTACCAATATTGTTATGTTTCTTTTAAGGCTTACTGCAGTATATTATATTTAAAGCCAAGAATGCAGATAATCTTACGTGGACAGAAAGTGAAGACACAGCTAGTTTCGAAGAGTCTTGCCTACATTGAACGTGATGTTTATCGACCTAAATTTTTAGTATCCTTTATTGTTTGACGCTGTATAGGCATGTCAATCAAGCATGCACTCCTTTGCCCCTTTTTCCTTTTTTTTTTTTCCTTGATAGGGATTCTAATTCTTTTCAACTTTTCCCTTCTTTATGCACTTCAGAGTTCATTAAAATGAAACAGTGATTTGAGGAGAGTGAGGTGTGTTTTTTTTCTTCTCAGAATTTTCCTTAACATTTTAAGACTAAAACAGTGAGAATTACTTTTGGATTCAACTGCAGAAATAAAGATCATTATGGCATAATGATGTATCACAGAAATAGACTCATCAAAGCTTATGAAAAAGTTGGATGTCAGCTAAGGGTAAGCTTTATATTTTAAAAGAATGGTCTATTTTTAATAAAAATTAGAATAATGTTATTGGGATAAAGGCAAAATTATTTTATAGTGGTTTTGCTCATGATTTTTAGACGCCAGTCTCTTAAAAATAATATTAGTATTACATTTTAATTTTGTATTAATTTCTCATTTGATCCTGAACAGTCCTGTAAGGGGAGTTAGGATATTTATTTTGCCCCTACTTTATAGATAAGAAAATTGGGGCTAATAAATAGGATGTGCAGTTTGCCTAAGATCTAACAGTGAGTGTGGATCTCAGCCATAGATGCCCTTCTTTTGCCTGCATTTGATATGGGATCAGTGATTTTTTTCTTACTGGAATGACACTGGTTAGATTTTATTAATGTTGACTGAAATAGCCTGAAAAATAGTATCTGATAGGCTATATCTTTTTAGGAGATAATTCCTAAATATATTGGGACTGTCCTCTTAAAAAATTTCCATTGTTGTAGAATTCACGTTAAGATGATGAGCTAGTTCACTATGTCTGTCTGTCCTGTACATATTTACATAGGCATTTTTTAGGGTGTGTGTGTAGCATTTTCTACGAATTCAATAATTTGAGGTTTGTAGAAACTCAATAATGAAAATAATTCTAAAAATCAACTTTGTTAAAAAAATATTTGGGGGGTGGGGTACTTGGGATTGAACTCAGGGGCACTTGGCCACTGAGCCACTTCCCCCCAGCCCTATTTTGTATTTTATTTAGAGACAGAGTCTCACTGGGTTGCTTAGTGCCTTGCTTTTGCTGATGCTGCCTCGGGAGCTGCTGGGATTACAGGCATGCACCTCCGCACCCGGGGAAAAAAGTTTTTCAGGCTAGGTGTATATTTTGCTGGGGTGGTGCTGCACCCCTGTAATCCCAGCAACTCAAGAGGCTGAGACGGGAGGATCACAAGTTTTAGGCCAGCCTAAGCAAATTAGTGAGAGTCTGCCTTATACACAAAAAGGCTAGCTCTTTTTTTATTTTTTACTTTTTTTAAATATTTATTTAGTTATCGGCATACACAACATCTTTGTTGGTATGTGGTGCTGAGAATCGAACCCGGGCCGCACGCATGCCAGACGACCGCGCTACCGCTTGAGCCACATCCCCAGCCCCTCTTTTTTTTTTTTTTTAGTTCTCTGTTTTTTGTTTTCTGTTCATCTTTATTCTAAATCCTTTGTAGAATGTTGTAAGCTCTACACAGTATAATCATGTGGATTTATCTTGAATGCTATTTGAATAGGTTGGAACTCTGCTTCACCTATTTTCATGGCATGAGCCCAGAATAGTAGCATTTTTGCAGAAGTATGTGAAAACTTTGTTGGGCTTTTCTTTGTAATTGTTAATTTCATTTGAAAATTAATGCAGAAATCTGGCAATTGTGATATGAGATATAAATGACATTTACTTAAAATGCTAATTTTCATTTGCAATTAAAATACTAGTTGCTAGGAATATTCTATAATGTGCTATTTAAGTTAATAAATTTCATTGGTAGTTAGAAATGCATTTTTGATAATATGCCTTATTTCTCTAGTGCTTTGGGATTCAAAAAAATAATCTATCTGCTATAGAATATAAATTCTTTTTCTTTTGTCATTTATGAATTTTACTTCATAGGATACAGGGCCCATTTTGCAAACACAGTTAAATTTGCATCATGGAGGCTGGGGATATAGCTCAAGTTGGTACAGTGCTTGCCTCGCATGTACAAGGTTCAGTCCCCAACACCACAAAAATAAATTTTTTTTGCATCATGTACAGTTTCTAGTTTCTAGTTCAGCGTTCAGTTTTACCTTGTAAAATTAGGCTTTTAGAACAAACATTTAATGTTTGTCTTTACCAGATGGTGGAGTGGGCCAAAATGCAGATGCTCAGACTTACCATGCTAGGTGTTGAGCAGAAAATTATGATGAGGCACAGAGCATGCCCTCAGCTCAGTTTGAGGAATATCCTTAGACCATCAAAAAGTCTTTCTGAAGACTGATGATGAGATGTCTCCATTGACTTCACTGCCTTATAAAGTCTGGGAAGGGCTCTCCAGGCAGAGCAAGCTTCTGCAAAGGAAGGGGAAGAAGTTTCTGAGAGTGTAACATCATGAAGAACAACTTGTGTGGCTGAACCATATTGTAATTGGGGAACAAAGTAATTGGAAAGACAGGAAGATGAAGCTGGAAAGAAGGATGACAAGAACTACAAATGAAAGGGGTCTTGTTATGACCGTGGTTTACTGGTGGTCTGAAATGAAGAACCATTGATGTTTTTTGTTGTTGTTTGGATTTTTTGTGGCAGTAGGGATTGAACCCAGGGTTTTATACATGTTAGGCAAGTTCTCTACCACAGAACCCTTTCTCCAAACCCCCTTCCCTCACCACTTTTTAAAAAAATTTATTTTTGAGAAAGGGTCTCGCTAAGTTGCCTAGGCTGACCTTTGAAGTTGTGGTCTTCCTGCTTTAATTCTCAAAGCTAGGATTACAGGCATGCAATACCTTGCCTGTCTCCACTATTGACTGTACTAGGGCTCAAATCCAGGGTCTCATGCATGCTAGGCAAATCACTGAGCCACATCCTTAGACCCCACTGATGGCTCTGAACAGAGCAGAATTGTGATTAGATTTACATGGTTTAATTAATAACTTTACAAAAATTTTTATTTTATAAGTTACATATTCTTCCATTTCCATTTGTAAGTAGACTCAGAAATAAGCTATAATTGTGAACAAAATATACTTGTTAATAGCATGTAAATATCAGAATTCAACAGTTAATTTGAATTGATTAATTTTAGCTAGTATAGTTTCAAAAAATAACTGGTGTGCTGGGCATGGTGATGTGTGCCTGTAATCCCAGCAGCTCGGGAGGCTGAGGCAGGAGGATTATGAGTTCAAAGCCAGCCTCAGCAAAAGCAAGGCATTAAGAAACTCAGACCCTGTCTCTAAAGAAAATACAAAATAGGGATGGAGATGTGGCTCAGTAGTTGAGTGCCTCTGAGTTCAATCCCTGGTTACACCCCCGTCTGCCCCAAATAACTGGTGCAAGTGACCTAAGTTTTTATTTCATCATATTGGCAACTGGTTACATTTTTATTTTTGTTTTTGTTTGACATGGGGTTTCTCTGTTATCCTCCTGTCTCAGTCTCCCAAATGCTGGGACTGAGGACTTCACAGACTATATATGCCAGAATTTTTGCTAGGCATTGCAGATACTGAGATGAGATACTTCTTCTTTTTTTTTAATGAGTTACCTCTTGTTTCTCCTGTCTTAAGAAATTGCATCCTGGGCTGGAGATGTGGCTCAAGCGGTGGCATGCTCGCCTGGCATGCATGCAGCCCGGGTTCGATCCTCAGCACCACATACAAACAAAGATGTTGTGTCCGCTGAAAACTAAAAATAAATAAATAAATATTAAAGATTCTCTCTCTCTCTCTCTCTTTTAAAAAAAAAAAAAGGAAAAGAAAAAGAAATTGCATCCTGGTTGTGGTAGTTCTTTTTTCCTTGTATAAATTTGGCGATGATAATACTTGTATAAACGTATAGTTGGAATGCATTTAGAGAAAAGCTTTAATACATTTAGTAATTAACTCCCAGAAAAATAAAATAAAAATGAAAATATTCAGTCTAAATTTCATGAGACTCATGTGAGTATAGATTAATGATTTTTTAAAAACAAATTTTGAATCTTTAAGAGTACTTTGAGCACAATGTGTTATGCTTAATGTGCTGATTTTATTTTATTATTTTCAGGCAAACAACATGGGTGTTGGAGTAGTTGGAATTATAGAATGTAACTTCCTTAAGCCAACTCATAATAAGCAAGATTTTGACTATACTAATGAGTACAGGTATGTTACATATTTAAATTATTGACTGAGATTTTTGGAAATGGATTACTAAGAAATCCGGGATTTTCTTTATTTTTTATGAATCACAGAAGTAGATCTCATCAGTAAAGATAGTAGAATACACTTGGAATGGATTAGAATTTATAGGATGGAAGAAAATAGCTAAATGCCTTTTCTGTGTAAGCACCTCACCCACCCATTTACCTGAAAGTTCTATAATGTAGTATTAATTTTGTAAAGTGAAATGTAAAAATATCCATGTTATGGCAAGAAATTTAGATGAGGAGAAAGTTTTGAAAATATTTACAAAATAAGTGAGGGGCTGGGGATATAGCTCAGTTGGTAGAGTATTTGCCTAGCATGCCTAAGGCCCTGGATTCAATCCCCAGCACCACCCCCCCCAAAAAACCAAAAATCAAAAATTAACAACACCACCACAGTCAAAATAAGAATTCAATAATTTTAAGTAGGTATCAAGAAGGCCTGGCCATTCCTGATCTCTAGAAGGTGCCTGGTGTTGCTGGAGTGGGCTGTTAGTGGGAGAAGCATGGCCTGAAGCCACAGCTCTAGCTCCTCTGTGAGTACAGTGCTCCACCCAAACAACAGCAGAGTACAGAACATGGATGGGATTTGGAGCTGAAAAACAATAAACAAATAATGTTATAATCAAAAAGTCAAATGATTGTTGTTTAATAAGATTAACAGAATCTATAAGTATCTGGCAAGACTAAGGGAAAAAAATAAGAACATATGAATCATCAGTATGGAAAGTGAAAAGGAAGATACTGTAGGTCCTATAGGCATAAAAACATTGAAAGGATAGCTTGAACAAGTTTTCACTATTTTTATGGACATACTCCTTTGAAATTGAATCATTGCTTAGAAAAATTCCCATATATTAAATTCAAACATTTAAGGAAGAAGTAGTATCAGTCATACACAAACTCTTCTAAAGATATCCTAAGGTCACATAATCTGGACAATAAGCTCAAGACATTATAAGAAAGGAAATGTATATCAATCTCTCATCTTAATTAAAATTAGTCAATTATAATTAGTTATAAAATCTGAAAATAATAGCATACAATCCAGTGACATGTAAAAAAGATACCATTAAAACCAAGTGAGCTGTATCTGAAGATAGCATGTGTATTATTTTTTAATATTTATTTTTTGGTTGTAGGTGGACACAATATCTTTATTTTACATTTATTGGTGCTGAGGATCGAACCCAGTGCTCGTGCATGCTAGGCGAGCATTCTACCACTGAGCCACAACCCCAGCCCAGCATGTGCAGTTTTAATATTCAAGAATCAGTATAATTCATCACCTTGATTTTTTTTTTTTTTTTTTCGTACTGGGGATTGAACTTAGGGGTACTCGACCTCTGAGCCACATCCCCAGCCCTATTTTTTATTTTATTTAGAGACAGGGTCTCACTGAGTTGCTTAGTACCTCGGTAAGTTGAGGCTTTGAACTCATGATCCTCCTGCTTCAGCCTCCCCAGCTGCTGGGATTACAGGTGTGCACCCAGCAGCAAACATTATTTCTAATGGTGAATTGTTATTGCCAACTTTCTTCTAAAAAATGGGAATGGGATGAGGATATCAGCTCTTCACCATTGTTTTTGAAATAGTAGTTAGTTCAAGGTAGGAAGAATAAATGAAAACTAAAACGAAAAGGATTAAAAAGGTAGAAGTAAATTCATTATCTAGTGTTGATTGTATCAAATATATAAAAATTTCAAAACATGCAAAAACCTTTGACTTGCAAACTGTAAAATAATGTAGAAAGAAATTTAAGAAGTAAATAAGTATGTATACCAGAGTTAAAAATTGGAGGGCTGAAGGGCTGGAGTTGTGAAGCTTAGTGATAGAGCAATCGCCTAGCATGTGTGAGGCACTAGGTTCAATCCCCAGGACCACATAAAAATAAATAACTGAAGGTATTGTGATCATCTACAACTAAAAAATTAAAAAAAAAAAATTGGAGGGCTGAAAATTACAAAATAAGTTTTTCTCTAAAATGATTAAATGAATTAAACCATTTAATTTTTTTAAATCTTGCCATATATGTGATGGTGTTGATATTAAAAGTCTTATTATAAATTCTTTGTGAGAATTTGGGAGGATTAAAGCTACCTAAGACAGTCATTTCAAGAACAGCAAAGCAGGAGGACTTACATGTGCTTAAATGCTACTAGATATTAATTTATTACAAAGTTGTAGTAAGTAAGGAAGTCTGGTGTTAGTGATAGGATAGATAGTTTAGGGACTTTTATTTTCTATGCATCTTGTGACCTGATTTATCTCAAAGATTACATCATTGTGTAATGGAAAAATGATCATCTTTCTAAAAACTGCTGGGTCACTTGGCTTCCATATGGACAAAAGGAACCTTAACTTAAATGAAAGTCAATTCTAGATGATTTTTTCAACCTGAATGAGAAAAACAAAAATGTCATGTGGGTTTTTGGTTTTGTTTGTGTTTTGATGTTTTTGGGGGCGCGTAGGCGTAAGTGATGCTATGGATGGAACCCAGGGCCTCACTCATGCTAGACAAGAGCTCTACAACTGAGGAATACCCTAGCCCAGTAAGGCATGTTTTCAAATCAGAACCCCAAAAGTGTTGCTCCTCTTGGGCAAAATGAAAAAGACATAACTAATGTTGGCAAAATATAGAGCAGTTAGAACTCTGTTAAATCACCAGTCCCACGCAGAAGGTGGCATACATCTGTAATCCCAGCAAATTCAAGGCCAATATGGGCAACATAGGTCCTGTCTTACAATTAAAAGGACTGGGATATTGCTTAGTGGTAGGGCACCTCTGGGATACACAGCACCCCCCCCCCCCCCAAAAAAAAATCCTATCTGTGGAAATGGTTTATTATTGTTTTTTTTTTAATTTTATTTTTTAATATTTATTTTTTAGTTTATTTTTGTAGTTGGACACAATACCTTTATTTTATTTATTTTTATGTGGTGCTGAGGAGCAAACCCAGGGCCTCGCACATGCTAGGTGAGTGCTCTACCGCTGAGCCACAACCCCAGTGCTCTACTGCTGAGCCACAGTGCCCCCCCCTTAATTGTTTTTGAAAGCTGTTAAACTATTAAGTGAGTATCAGTGCACACCTTATGACCTTGCAAAAATGAGTAATGACTCACAGGCTGGGGAATACAGGGAATGAGAAAAAGATGAGATTGAGTCAAGGGATATGAGGAGAGGAGCAGGTTTGGGAGGGGTGATACATTCTCATTTAGACTTAGAATGTGATGCCATGGTGAGTTGGGTAGGTTACGAAGTGGTTTCTACCTAATGTTAACCTGCCAGAGTGTAAAATATGAAATCCTGATTTTTAAAAACTTAAAAAATTCAAAATGTTGTATTATTTGTATCTAAGTTCTTTGTGGTTTCTCTTACAGTAGTTGTTTAATGAATAATTAATTATTTAGTTGTGGCCTTTGTCTTGGTTTCATGAATTTATTAATGTCTTATTGTGGGAAAAGTGAAAGTCTTCATTGTAAAGTATAAGATCTTTTGAAGATGGGCTGGGATTGTAGCTCACTGTAGCACTTGTCTAGTATGTGTGAGGCCCTGGGTTTGATCCCCAATACCACATAAAATAAGTAAACAAAATAAAGCATGTGTCCATCTACAACTAAAAAAAAAAGATCTTTTGAAGTATTAATATTTTTTTTGCTGGTAGTGATGAGTACTTTTCATAAATCAAAAGTTTTGCCAGGCGCCATGGCGCATGTCTGTAATCACAGCAGCTTGGGAGGGCTAGGGCAGGAGGATCCTAAGTTCAAATCTGGCCTTAGCAACTGTGAGGTGTTAAGCAACTCAATGAGACTCTATCTCTAAATAAAATACAAAATAGGGCTAGGGATGTGGCTTAGTGGCGCAGTGTCCTTGAGTTCAATTCCTGGTATCAAAAAAAGAAAAGAGGGGCTGGAGTTGTAGCTCAGTGGTGGAGTGCTTGCCCCTCGTGCATGAGGCCCTGGGCTTGATCCTTAGCACCACATAAATAAATAAATGAATAAATAAACAAAAATAAGATATTTTAAAAAAAGTTTTGAGTTCTAATTTGAATTGAATTTGGTTGGGATTGAAATGAAGGGAGCCTCTGGTAGTCTCCCAGTTATTACTTTACAATATACCTCTGAACGGAGGGCCTAGTGCACTAGTATTTTGTTTGTTTGCTTATTATTTTTTATAATGAATGGGGATCCAGCCCAGAATCTCACACTTACTAGGCAAATGTTCTCCTACGGATTGTACCCTGGGCTCTTTAACTGTTTTATGTATTATTTCCAAGATGATCCTCTCTCTTTCCTAGGAACTTACAAAAAGTTCTTATAGGAACTTGGCATTACTTTGAATGTTCTTTATTAGTCATATATTCTGGATATCTTTTCTTTTCACGGTGGCCATGTAATGATTTTTAGATCATTTACATTTTCTCTTGTATTTGAAAAAATTAAATCTTTATTATGCTTTTTCTTGATTTTATAATTTTGCTTTTTAAAGACTTACAATAACAGCACTAGGAGAAAAGTTGAATGATTACTGGAATGAAATGAAAGTGAAGAAAAATTCAGAATATCCTTTAAATTTGCCAGTTGAAGATATACAGTAAGTACATTTAAAAAGTACCAGCTCACTCTGTTGTCAAGATGTGGTATTGGAGAATAAAGTGATTGTACTGTTTCACAAACTCTTTTTAAAATTTTTTTAGTTGTATATAGACTCAACGCCTTTATTTTTTTTATGTGGTGTTAAGATCGAACCCCGTACCAGTATTCACCCATCTATATGATACATGCTTATATCTTATTTCATTTTAAAATGCAAATCTCAACACATTAAATGGATTTCATAATCATAACAAGTTACATTTTATAGTTTGAAAAAACAGTGGTCTAGTGTAAACATTATGAGCATGAATCTAAACCCAAACAAGTACAGATTCTGGTTCTGCTTATGTATAAAGTATTAACAGTATGATGCCTGACAAGCACTTAATAACACATATCATATATTAACAATCCTGTAAACAAATGAGTAATATCTATATGTATCAATAAGGAAAGATATCCCAGATGTAATGAAAAACAATAAAGATGCAGCTCAGTGTATAAATTCCCTCCCCACTTTTTTTTTTTTTTGAGCATACATATACACATCTCTATTTTCATAAACATGGAAAATTTTTTCCATGATTCAAAAAATTAACAGAGGTGATCTCCTGAAAGAAAAGCTTTTTACTTCATAAACTTCTGGACTATTTTGAAGTTTTGTATACCAATATAAATGAGGTGTTTTTTTTTTTTTTTTGTGGTTCTGGGATCAAACCCAGGACCTTGTGCATGCAAGGCAAGCACTCTACCAACTGAGCTATATCCCCAGGCCCTATAAAATGAATTTTTATCCTTTGGTTTTGGTGCTAGGGATTTACTCTAGGATCTTGTGTATGCCAAACACAGACTCTCCCCTTCCTGTTTTTTAAAAACTAGATTAAAAATGTTATTGACATTATGGTGATGTCTTAATATGTTAAAATGGGTCTGCATAACTTTTTTTTTTATTGGTTGTTCAAAATATTACAAAGCTCTTGACATATCATATTTCATACATTTGATTCAAGTGGGTTATGAACTCCCATTTTTACCCCGTATACAGATTGCAGAATCACATCGGTTACACATCCACGTTTTTACGTATTGCCATTCTAGTGACTATTGTATTCTGCTGTCTTTCCTATCCTCTACTATCCCCCCTCCCCTCCCCTCCCCTCCCCTCCCATCTTCTCTCTCTACCCCATCTACTGTAATTCATTTCTCTCCCTTGATTTTTTTTCCCTTTCCCCTCACATCCTCTTATGTAATTTTGTATAACAATGAGGGTCTCCTTCCATTTCCATGCAATTTCCCTTCTCTCTCCCTTTCCCTCCCACCTCTCGTCCCTGTTTAATGTTAATCTTTTTCTCATGCTCTTCCTCCCTGCTCTGTTTTTAGTTGCTCTCCTTATATCAAAGAAGACATTTGGCATTTGTTTTTTAGGGATTGGCTAGCTTCACTTAGCATAATCTGCTCTAATGCCATCCATTTCCCTGCAAATTCCATGATTTTGTCAATTTTTAGTGCTGAGTAATACTCCATTGTGTATAAATGCCACATTTTTTAATCCATTCATCTATTGAAGGGCATCTAGGTTGGTTCCACAGTCTAGCTATTGTGAATTGTGCTGCTATGAACATCGATGTAGCAGTATCCCTATAGTATGCTCTTTTAAGGTCTTCAGGGAATAGTCCGAGAAGGGCAATAGCTGGGTCTGCATAACTTATTTATAGAACTTGTAATTTTCAATGAGAAAAATATAAAGGCAAGGGGCTGGAGATGTGGCTCAAGTGGTAGCACGCTCGCCTGGCATGCGTGCGGCCCGGGTTCGATCCTCAGCACCACATACAAACAAAGATATTGTGTCTGCCGAAAGCCGAAAACTAAAAAATAAATATTAAAAAATTCTCTCTTTTTCTCGCTCTTAAAAAAAAAGATAAAAAAAATAAAGGCAGTCTATGAACTTCCATAAAAAGAAAAGTACAATATTATATGTCAAATTTTTTTACATTTTGACAAATTCAGAAACATGCTATAATTACATAAGAAAGCAAAAGAACACACAACATAAAATTGGTTAAATTATAGAACTGTAGTTTCTTTGTTTTTTATACTTGGGAGTTTTACTGTGCTAATAAATAAACTATAGATAGATTCAATACTGTACATGTTAACTTTTTTTTTTTTTTAATTCTTTTTAGTTGTCAATAGAACTTTATTTTGCTTTATTTGTATGTGATGCTAAAACTCAAACCCAGGGCCTCACACATGCTAGGCAAGGGCTCTACCACAGAGCTACAACCTCAGTCCTAGATGCTAACTTAATGTAAATTTCACAAGGCATTTGTAATTTTTTAAGTTGGTATTATCATCAAACAAATTTAATAGTATGTTATTAAACAAGATAGTGAAATTGTTTTGTTCAAATTGTTCAAATTAACTTTTTGGAGATAGCCAATATCATTATTTTTTTTAAATATGTATAATAATAATAGCTATGTCACAGATTTTTCAGGAAAAGAGTTCAGTGACTAGACATTTTGTGCTAGAAATAATATAAAAATCAAATGAAGTCCTTAAGGGTCTATATTTCTTTCCTTTTTTATATTTTTTAAATTCTAAAAGTTTTTTTAGTAGTAGATGGACAGAATGCCTTTTTATTATTTATATGTGGTGCTGAGGATTGAACCAAGGCCTCACACATGCTAGGCAAGTTGTCTACCACTGAGCCACAATCCCAGCCCAGGGGTCTGTATTCCTACAGTGTTGGTTTTGTTTTGTTACAGGAAACGTCCTGATCAAATGTGGGTTCAATGTGATTCCTGTCTGAAGTGGCGAAAATTACCAGATGGGATAGATCAACTTCCAGAAAAATGGTATTGCTCCAATAACCCTGACCCACAGTTCAGGTACCATATAGTTGGTAGTACCCTTTTTGAAAAGGCAGAAAGTGCTTTTTAATATGTATGAATAGGCACTGGTGACATGTTATTCCTATTTGATTTCTGTCTAGAAACTGTGACGTTCCAGAAGAACCTGAAGATGAAGATTTGGTACATCCCACTTATGAAAAAACCTACAAAAAGAAGTAAGTGCTGTATTCATGTCTGGTGAGGATATGATGCTTAAATCATAAGTAGCAATGTTTGGCAGCATTAATTGATGTTTCCCCCAAGGCAAAGCTAGTATAACTAAAAAAGATGATATGGAATGCATAATATCAAGCACTTTTTTTCCTTAAGTTTGTGCTGTGAACATCTTTTTCTTCATCACTTGGTGGTATTGCTATCCTATTTATAAGTTAAATGAAGTATTTTGATCATTTTGAACTGTACATGAACTGTAAGTGAACACATTACCCTTAGGAACTAACAGTCTTAACAGAGAAGGTGATGTGTGTGTATTACAAATTAGAAGTTTGGGAGTGTTGTGAAAGGTACATTGTAAGGAAGCTCTTAAGGAGAGTCTTCTAGCTGGGGTTGTAGAGCTGGTGGGTAGAAATAGGTCATGAAACTTCATGAAGAAGGTCATTTTTATAATAGGCTTCGCAGGATGGGTAAGAGCCTAATTAGAGTAAATATGTGAGTGGTAATAATGCAAAATGGAAGTGGAGCAAATAAGATGGGAAAACTTAAGGCTAATGTACTACTGTACACAGAAGCTGACTTCACTAAAAATCTTTCTGGTGTACTGTTCTTTAGTTAAATTTAATAGCTATATTAGAACTAAAGAAACCAGTTAGAAGCCTATGTGATATTCTAGTTTAAAGATTTGCAGTTCAGGTCTGTAGGGATACAAAGTTTTGTTTAAAAGTTAATTAAAAATATAAAAAGTATTCCCTTGTCTAAGGGTTTGCCGCTCATTATAATGAAATTAAAGCAAAGTTTAGTGTACATATCTGAGTAATTGGTAGTGAAGGAGCAGGTATAACATTTGGAAATGGGATGGAGGTGTAATAATGAGGTAAATTTAAATGTTCATGTTTCATCTTTTCTTTTAAAGCAACAAAGAAAAATTCAGGATCAGACAACCAGAAGTGATACCACGGGTAATTAAGCTTTCCATTTCATAGCTGTGGATTAATTTTGGTAGTACATAGCTTTAACCAATAATTGCCTTTTTTTTTTTTTTTAATTTTAACTTTTTTAGTTACAGGTGGACACAATGTCTTTATTTTACTTTATGTGGTGCTGAGGATTGAATTCAGTGCCTCACGCATGCTAGGCGAGTGTTCTACCACTGAGCCACAACCCCAGCCCCAATAATTGCCTTTTAAATTTTGGATTTTCGTAACAGACTGAAGGAATATTGTTTATTTATTTCACAATCCTCCCCCTCCCCCTTCTACCCCTCCGTGCCCTCTTTTCTGACTCTATAACTTTTTAACCAAGCAACTCATTCAGACTGTTCGGTTGTATTTAGTTGGGCATAATCTGAGTAAAAGCAAAACAAAGTCTTATAATTTATAAGAATCTTACTGTAATCCCAGCTACTCAGAGGCTGAGGCAGGAGAAGGTCAGCCTCATCTATTTAATAAGATCTTGTCTCAAAGTTTTAAAAAAGGACTGGAGATGTAGCTCAGAGGTGGAATGTTCCCCAGTACCTTTAAAATTAAAAAAATAAAAAAAACTTACTATTAGGCAGTTGAGGAAAGAAAGAGTCGCAGGGCCACCCAGAGAACCTGATCCAAAGCTGGTGTTTTCTTCTCCTTTGTTGACTTCTCAGACTGCCCTTCACATTTCTTTCTTACTGCTTACTGATATTAAGGAATTTTGCTGAGTAGTTAAATTTCTTATATAAGGAGTTTTAATCTGCTGTGGGATGTGTATGTTTGCTTAAAATTTCATTGAAATATTTTAGTGTAGAGGGTTTAGGGGTGAAAGATCTTGAAGGAAAAAGAAGAATGGGTTTATTTTGGTTTATGTATATCTTCCATTCCTTTCTCAAAAAATATATTCTTAGCATCTCTCAGTAAGTCCTATACTATAGTGTCACCACATTACTAAATCTTTTTTTGGCTTTGTGGGCCACGTGGATGTTTTTTTGTTTGTTTGTGTGTTTTTTTGTTTTTTAATCTGGTGCTGGGAATTGAAGCTGGGGCCTTGTGTATGTGAGGCAAGCACTCTACCAACTAAGCTATATCCCCAGTCCCACATAGATTGTGGGTTTTTTAAAGATATCAATGGACCTTTGGTTTTATTTATTTGTATGCAGTGCTGGGAATTGAACCTAGTACCTCAAACATGCTAGGCAAGTACTCTACCACTGAGTCACAACCCCAGCCCCCCCCACAGAGTTTTTATTGCATATTTTTTCTTGTGTTTACATCCTTTAAAAATGTAAAACCATTTTTAGCCCATTTCTAGGCTGCATTTGGCTTATTGGTGTATTTTTACTCCCTGGTTAGCGTATATTTAGGATAGTTCTCAATATCCCATGAGATAATGGGAAAAGAGAAGCTTGTATCTTGTGTTTCAGGTACGTAACATTTAGATAGTTTTTTTAAAGATCTGTTTTTGTCCTCCAACAGATTAATGCTGAACTGTTTCGGACAACCCCTGTTTCAAGTCAGAGTTTTTCTCCTGTGAGGGAAAGTATTTCAAGGGGACATCATTCAGAAGTGACAAATTCCTATCCAACAAGACCTATAAATAATCATCGAGTTTCACCTCAGTCTGAACCTGAGAACAACAGGTTTGTTGTGTTTTTCTATTTGTGGAATATTGAATTGAGCCTTTATGTGACATTCCTATGGCAATAATGCAATTCTAGGCAATTACAGTTTATATGAATGTAAAATATCTTAAGGACAAATTACTTTGCTTTTATTGTCTAAATTTTCCTCCATCCTCAATGTTGCCGAACATACTGCCCAAATAGCAAACCAGTATAGATAGCCCTCCAAGTGTGGAAAAAGTAATCCATTGGTGATAATTTGACAGGAAACTACATAAAGATAATGAGGACTGGTGTTGTGGCTTAGTGGTAGAGCACTCACCTTGCATGTGTGAAGCACTGGGTTTGATCCTCAGTACCACATAAAAATAAATTAATTAAATAGAGGTATTGTGTCCGTCTACAACTTAAAAAAAAAAAAATGAAGCAGGTTTTAGGCCCAGCATGATAGTTCATGTCTGTAATCACAGCTGCTTGGGAGGCTGAGGCAGGAGGATCGCAAGTTCAAAGCCAGCCTCAGCAAAAGCAAGGAGCTAAACAACTCTGTGAGACCCTGTCTCAAAATAAAATAAAAAAGGGCTGGGGATGTGGCTTAGTGGTTGAGTGCCCCTGAGTCCAATGTCTGGTACCAAAAAAGAAAAGAAAAAAGAAACACATATTAGGAAGGAAAAATAAAAGTATGTAAGTATGTATTTAACCTCAAATATATTAGTAATTACACAAAATATAAATGGAAAATGAGGCAGGTTTAATTCAGGGAAACTCTTCTATTTGAAATGATAGGGAATACTAGTGTGCTTTATGGTTTATCTTTGGTCATTGAATGCTGATAAAAACTGTGATGCACAAATGAAAATGGAAGTGCTATTCCCTAGAAAATACAAAGACAGGATCTGGGGTAGGGACCTTATGGTTTGGGTATGTATTCCTTGGAATGCTTCGAAGAGCTCAGATGAAGAGATCTTTTACAGTGTACAGATCTAGTGCTTGAAGGAGATCTCAATAGTCAACTATTTCCTGATCTGTAAAAGGAGAAAATAATGACTTCATTGATTCAATGATCAATTCTGTAAATCTGTGTTTGTTTTTTTTTAATGAACATGGGCTTTTTTTTTTTTTTTAATTTGTTGAGCATGGGCATTTATTAAAAGTTTAAGATAATGCTGGGCACGGTGGCACTCCTCAGGAGGCTGAGGCTGGAGGATCACAAGTTTGAAGCCAGCCTTAGTAGTGAGACCCTGTCTTAAAATAAAAACATTAAGGGGCTGGGGTTGTGGCTCAGTGGTACAGTGCTCACCAAGCACGTGAGGGGTGCTGGGTTCGATTCTCAGCACCACATAAAAATAAAATAAAGGTATTGTGTCCAACTACAACTAAAACAAAATATTTAAAAAAATAAAAACGTTAAAATGGCTGGGAATGTAGCTCAATGGTAGAACATCCCTGGGTTCAATCCCACACTACCCCCAAAATAATAGTAATAATAATTCTTATTATTTTAAAAAATTTATAATTGTGCATTTGTTAGAATCATTACTTAATGGTCATCCATTTTGTTTGTAATTTATAATCTTACATTTTATATATAATTTTTTTCCAGCCTAAAACGGAGGCTTTCTACTCGTTCCTCAATTTTGAATGCAAAGAATCGGAGATTAAGTAATCAAACATTTGAAAATTCAGCTCATAAAGATGACAATGATGATGATGAAGATGTGATCATCTTAGAAGAAAACAGTACTCCCAAACCTGCAGTAGATCATGATGTTGAAGTTAAACTAGAACAGAGTCACATTGAACAAAGTAGTGTTCAAGTTGAGCTTGTGGGCAGTGCTAAACCTTGTGGGCAGGCTAACTCAACAAGCACTGCATCATCCAGGTGTGATCAGGGTACTACTGCAGCCACCCAGACGGAAGCACCAAGTTTAGTTATTAAAAAGGAAGAAATTATTGAAGATGAGATAGATGTAAGAAATGATATAGCAATACTGCCCTCCTGCGTAGATGCTGAAGGAAAGATACAGGAAGCCCAGGAAACCTTTGCTAAGGCTGCAGATGATGTTGGCTGCCAGTTACAGGAGCTGAGAAATGAACTACTTTTAGTCACTCAAGAAAAAGATAATTATAAGAGACAGTGTCATACATTTACAGACCAAATCAAAGTGTTACAACAAAGAATACTGGAAATGAATGACAAATATGTGAAGAAGGAAACTTGTCATCAATCTACTGAAACTGATGTATTTTTACTTGAGAGTATTAATGGCAAATCTGAAAGTCCAGACCATGTGGTATCTCAGTATCGGCAAGCTTTGGAAGAAATAGAAAGGCTGAAAAAACAGTGTAGTGCTTTGCAACATGTAAAGGCTGAATGCAGCCAGTGTTCTAATAGTGAGAGTAAAAGTGAGATGGATGAAATGGCTGTGCAGCTTGACAGTGTATTTAGACAACTGGACAAATGCAGTATTGAGAGGGACCAGTACAAAAATGAGGTGAGTTGTATCATTCCACATAGTCTTGAAAGTCCAGGGCTATTTAAAACTTAAGGAACTGCTAGATTGGAGAACTTTCATTTCATAAATAAATGTTTGTTACTCTCCTGGTTCTTAACAAGGGGGTTGGGCCTATTGGGGGCATGTAGTTGATGTAGGTGTATTTGGTTCTTACAGTATTTGAGGAGATTGCTGGAAAAGAGTGGATGTATCTAGATACAGTTAAGTTCTGTAGTGCACAGGATATAGCTGTAAGATAGATTATTATCTTGTTCAGAATACCGATACCATCCCTTTTAGATACTTAATTCCTCAATATAGTCAGAACTTTGCATCCATTATTAGTATGCCTTTCAATAACCATAATGAGTTAGATGTTATATCCATATCTTATAGATGAACTCTCTGAGGATTAGGTTTGTTCTCAAATGGCACAATATCTCGAAATTACCAAAAACAGACTTCTTCATTGTTCCTTTGCTTCTCATTATGCAGTTGTGTTCTCAGATGGCTCTTCAGGACCAGCCATCATATCTGCTTTCCAAGCTGCAAGAAAGAGAAGGGGTATAGTTTCTTGCAGTTGCTTGTAGTCCATCTTGCAGAACTTAATTCACCTGGTTAGTGGGTGCCTGTCAGGGAAATGGAATCGGTCTAAGGGGTCTTTTACTGAAGAAAGAGAGAAACAGTAATTACCAGGAAATAATTGGTAGGTAGCCTGTGCATAAGCTTCCACTTCAAATCCAAGAAGCTCCTTTTAAATCTATTTTATGTACATTATATTTTGTAAAGTTTGAGAGAGTTTCCTTGCTCCTTCCTGGAAATATTGCTGACATAACTGTTCACTCAGACATTCTTCATGATATGTTAGGTCAGGATCTAGATGACAAAATATATAACAGTCAATACAAGCTTATTATAAGTTGGTATTAAGTGTGTAAGAAATGAAAACCATAGTGACAACAAAATTTAGGCATTAGTGTCTTTCAAAGTTTCAATTTTTAGGTACCATTCATGTAGTTATTAACGTTTTGTTTTCTTTTACTATAAAAAGATGTAGAAGTAAAGCTAAACAAATGAAACTTTGTGTAAAATTATTGGGTGTGTTTAACATTTTTTGATAATTGGTAATTTTTATCATGCCAGTTCTCTATTTCTTACTTTAAATTTGCACTTTAACAATATTTTAAAATTTTAGTTATAAAGTTAATTTATATTTTTGTCAGGTTGAATTATTGGAAATGGAAAAATCACAGATTCGTTCTCGGTGTGAAGAACTCAAAACTGAAATTGAACAGTTAAAATCTGCAAGTCCTCAGAGAGGAACAGATGTTTCAACTTCAAGTAACATTGAGGAGTCTGTAAATTATGCAGATGGGGAAAGGTAATATTAAATGAGGTATTTTGCTGGGGCTGCAGTTAGAGTAGAATGCTGTTTTTTTCTATTAACACACATTAAATATTGTTCTATGAAAAGAAGTCATTGCTTTATAATGTTTTGAACAACCAATAAAAAAAAAAAAGAAAATTTTATAGCATAAACTCCACCCTTATTAGCAAATGCTGGTAACTGCTGCAATTCCAAATACCCTTGCAGTCATTTGGAAAATGTTCTGCAGTCACATTCACTGAAAACATTTACAACAATATTTCTCATTACTTTTTTAAAAAATATATTTATGTATGTATGTAAAAAAAAAAATAAAAATGCATGCATCCCAAACCTGGAAAAAAAAAAAGAAAAAGAAAAGAAGTCATTGATGTCTGCTGTCATCCCAGTGTTCTGTACAGATTCAAAAGAGGTAACATCATTATCCCTTCAAGTTGCAAACAGTTAATGTTCTGTTTAAGTGAAAGAACCTAGAAGGAACAAAAAATGGTTTGAGACAGGTAATCCCAGTGGCTTGGGGACTGAGGCAGGAAGATCACAAGTTCAGAGTCACCCTCAGCAACTTAGCAAGGCTCTAAGCAAATTAGCGAGACCCTGCCTCAAAATAAAAAAGAAATATATATATATGCACACGCACACCACACTTGCTAAAACCATTCATCTGTTGATGGGCATCTGGGTTGATTCCATAATTTTAGATTCTTACCAGCGGTGCTGCTATGAACATTGATGTGGCTGTGTTGCCTAGTATGCTGATTTTAGTTTTTTTTTTTTTTAAGAAAATACTCAGGAGTGGGATAGCTGGGACATATGGTAGTTCCATGCCTAGGTTTTTGAGGAATTTCCAACTGCTTTCCATTTTATGTACATTATTTTTTTGTGATGTTTGAGAGAGTGGTTGTACTACTCTGCAGTCCTCTAACAATGTATCAGTGTTCCTTTCTCCCCACAACCTGTCCAGTATTTATTGTTGTTTTTTGTTTGTTTGTTTTTGTACCAGGGATTGACTCCAGGAGCGCTCAACCACTGAGCCATGTCTCCCGTGCTTTTATATATATATATATATATATATATTTAATTTTTTTTTTAAGTTATAGATGGACACAAAACCTTTATTTATTTATTTTCATGTGGTGCTGAGGATCCAACCCAGTGCCTCACACATGCCAGATGAGTGCGCTACCACTGAGCCACAACCCCAGCCCTTCTTATTTATATTTTATCTAGAGACAGGGTCTTGCTAAGTTACTGAGGCTGGGTTTGAATTTGGGATCCTCTTGCCTCAGCCTCACCAGTCACTGGGATTACAGGTGTGTGTCATCATGCTTGGCTTGTTGTTTACATTTTTATTTTTTTTGGTGTGGGGGCGGTACCGAGGATTGAACTCAGTAGCACCCAAGCACTGAACCACATCCCCAGCCCTATTTTGTATTTCATTATTTTATTTAGAGACAGGGTCTCACTGAATTGCTTAGTACCTTGCCATTGCTGAGGCTGGCTTTGAACTCCTGTCTCAGCCTCATGAGCTGCTGGGATACAGACATGCACCACTGAGCCTGGCCTGTTGTTTATATTCTTGATCATTGCCATTCTGACTGGAGTGAGATAGAATCTTAATGAGGTTTTAATTTGCATTTCCCTGACTGGTAGAGGTATTAAACATTATATCATATATTTATTGGCCTTTTGTGTTTCTTCTATTAAGAAGTTTCTGTTTAGTTCTTTTGCCCATTTATTGATTGGGTGATTTGTTTTTTTTTTTTTTTTTTGGTGTTAAATATTTTTAGTTCTTTGTATATTTGGATATTAATCCCCTATTGGAGGAGTAGCTGGCCAAGATCTTCTCCATTCTGTATGCTGTCTTCATGCTCTTAATCGTTTCCTTAAGCTGTCTAGCATATCACTATTTTCCAGGTGATAATGATACTTAAATTAGATATTTTGCTAGTCCATGTTTTCTTCAGTCTGCAAATTAAAAGTATAAATAGGGACCAGACCAAGCAAGTAATTGTAGAAACGCTGTGCTTTGACCTGGGCTAGCATTTGATGGGTAAGGAGATTAAAATCTAATGAATCTAATGGATAAAATGAATTATTAAATCCAGTTCTTCAAGTGAAGTTTTGCTTTTCTTTTGTTTAACTCTGTTTCATTTTGCAAAGAGTTGATTCTAACGTTTTCACTTTAAAATTCTGTGTGTGGGGTAATCCATACTGATATTCATCTAATGAGTCTCCTATTTGTATTTGCAGCCTCAAACTTCGATCTCTTCGAGTTAATGTAGGACAACTGCTGGCCATGATTGTACCTGATCTTGATCTTCAGCAAGTGAATTATGATGTTGATGTAGTTGATGAGATTTTAGGGCAAGTTGTTGAGCAAATGAGTGAAATCAGTAGTACTTAAAGTATGTCTCATGAATTAATAAAATACTTGCCCAGTCCTTTTTCTTGTATGGCTTTCAAAATATAAACAGTTTTGTTCTTTAGTTTTGATAGGTAACAGACTGAAGAACCATTATCTTTACTGTATTCTATGCATTCAGATGTGGTCACAGATATTGTGGGCACATTTCCATCTTTTTTTAATGCCTGTGAATTGTTGGTATTGAGCAGCTGAATAGCTAACTTATGACTGTTTTGAATGTATATATCTGAATGTAAATATTAGGCCCATACATATTTTTTTATTGTTCCTAAAATACATAAGTGATTTTCACCAAGAGGTTTTCAGGTTGCCCCTAAGCTTTGTGCAATTTTTTCTGGTTGCCAAAAGAGTATTTTTCTTGGAATTGAGGGCTGTACCATGATATAAATGAAAATGCTACTACTTTTGATTTTCTTATAAAGGAGTTTAAATAATTTTTAAATAATGTAAGAGCACTCCTGATTACAGTCTGGTTATAAGGGAATGAGCATTAGTGTTTCTTTTCTATAAATTCCTATCTCTTGACACACATTATTCATGAAAATATTGTAAGCAAAAACTGACTCCATTTTGCCAGGGTTTTTCTTGTGCTGAGATTGCCAATCATGATCAAACACAAAGTGTTTTTATAAAACAAAGAAACAATCGTTAGTATAAAGTATTGAAAATATTAAATAACCACCAAGTTTACTTTTGAAGCCCATTTTTAGCTGTTTAGTCAGCATGGAGTGGGCACAATAATTATTTAATATTTCTTTTTGTGAAATTTCCTGTACAGCCTTTTGTAGGATTATTGCAGATTAATATGAGTTGAGGAAGACAATCTTTCTCGACAATACTGCAAACCTTTTATTATATTACAGACCTAAGTGTTTTATATCCTGGAGTTAAGGAACAAACTGCCCTAGGATTATAGTATTACATGCCATAATATATGCTTTATTGTTTTATGTTTTGTGCAATCTTAAAGAAATAGCTTTTTATTAAGTATATATCTCTATGTGTATATAATTAAAAATCATATTTTCAACAACTAAAATAGGCATTATTTTTTCCAAAGTTTTATCATCGCTATTTATTTTTACTTTTGTTTCTGAAAATTCAAGACATATTCATTTTGTATGTATGCTTAATTACATGTCTGTCATACAATATTGAATTTCTATTGTATATTACCTTCTGGAAAGAGCAAATAAATGAAGATTGTTTTTATTTGCTTGATAAAGTAATTGAAAGTGTATTTTTGGTATGAAACTGGTTTTGTCTCAATTGTAACTGCCCACATTTTTAAAATACATTGTAATAAAATATATGATGTCTGCCTCTTCAGATATCCTTTTTAAAAGATTCAATGTTAACTTCAATTTATTTTAAAACTAAAAATGTATCCTTTAGATTATCAGGTTGAGCTCATTCTACTAAATTAATTGTTAGACTAAGTGTTTGAGGCTGAGTTCGTTAGGGAGAATGTGTGTGTTTGTTGTATTCAAGAGGAAAACTTTTTCTTGTTTAAAAAAAAAAAAAGCATTTCATCTGGAGAAAACTTGCCTAAATGATGACACCTGTATAAATCACACAAGTTTGTGAATATTTGTTGATGTAATAGGGTTTTTTTGGAATTTGCCATTTTTTCCTTCTTGCTGGTCAGCTTTTATATTTTTGAATTACCTATCTTAATTAATCTGGAAAAAATAATTGTGGAATTAGTAAGAGAAACTTGCTAAATTTTATTTTTTATTTTTATTTTTGGCAGTACTGAATGTTAAGCCTAGAGATACTCTACCCCTGAACTATACCCTAGTTCTTTTTATTTTGAGACAGTCTATATTGCCCAGGCTGGGCTTGAATTACAATCCTCCTACTTCAGGCTCGGATTACAGGACTGTGCCACTTCCATCTGGCTCTAAATTGGTTCTTTAGAAGTACTTCTATATTTTTCACTCCTTTAAGAAATATTGCCATGATTTGAGGCTGAAAATGTAGCTAACAACAAACTTAAGACATCGAGGGCTTTTGCAAGACTTATCAGTTTTCCTTGTTGTTGAGTTTGTAGAAATCTAGTGTTGGAGGGAAGTCTTACTTAAAAATTTTTTCTTTTAAAACAAACAATGGCAAAAAACAAAGTATGAGGAAGCCCAAAAAATCAGTCTAGACCTGCTTTGGTCAACTGAGTCTACAGAGTAGTGAATGCTGAGGGATGGCACAGACTAAGCGCAATGAACATGTCCTGTGTCCTTCCTTTGAGCCTCAAGTCCTAATGTGGCGGGAGGTCCTGCTGGTCATACTGCCTGTGATCTCAGATGCTTGGTTCTTACACTTGGGTCATACTGGTCATTGAGGAATCATTTAAGTGATTTTTTTTTTTTTTTTTAAGTACTATACTGAGAATTGAATCCAGGGGTGTTTTACCACGCAGCTACATCCCCATCTTCCCCTTCCCCCTATTTTAAATTTTACATTTTGAGACAGAGTCTCACTAAGTTACTGAGGCTGGATTTGAACTTGGTGATGGATTATAAGTATGTGTTACCACACTTAGTGAATCTGCACCCCATTCCTTTTTTTTGGGGGGGGGGTACCAGGGATTGAATTCGGGCATCACTGAGCCACACATTCCCAGCTCTATTTTGTATTTTATTTAGAGACAGGGTCCCAATGAGCTGATAAAGTGCCTCACTTTTGCTGAGGTTGGCTTTGAACTCAAGATCCTCCTGCCTCAGCCTCCTGAACTGCTGGGATTATAGGCGTGCGCCAGCATACCTGCTTGCACTCTATTCTTATTAAGTCAGTTTTGGGGGATGGACCCAGGTAAATATTTTTGGATTTTTTTTTTTTTTTTGTATCAGGTATTAAACACAAGGGTGCTTAACTTCTGAACCACATCCTCAGCCCTCCCACCCCCCTCCTTTTTTTTGCTTTTATTACTGGAGATTTAATCCAGGAACATTTAACCACTGAGCCATATCTCCACTCTTTGTATTTGAGACAGGATCTCAATAAGTTGCTGAGACTGGCCTTGAGCTTGTGATCCTCCTGCTTTAGCTTCCTGAGCCACTGGGATTACAGGTGTGTACCACTAACTCCAACCCCATAACAGTATTTTTATGTATTTATTTTTAGTTGTAGATTCACACAACACCTCCATTCATTTATTTATTTTTATTTGGTGCTGAGGATCAAACCCAGTGCCTCATAGGTGTGAGGCAAGCGCTCTGCCACTGAGCCACAACCCCAGCCCCCCATAATAGTATTTTTTGACTCCTACACAGATACATTAATATAATATTATATGTGTAAAATTTATTTTTAATGTGGTGCTGAGGATTGAACCAGTGCTTCACATGTGCTAGGCAAGCGCTCTGCCACTGAGCTACAACCCCAGTCCCTATTTATCTATTTTAATGGTATTAGGGATTGAACACAGGAGTTCTCTACCACTGAGCTACAGACTTTTTTTCTTTTTAAGAAATGTGTATTTTTTTTTTTTAATTTTAATATTTATTTTTTAGTTTTTGGTGGACACAACATCTTTGTTTGTATGTGGTGCTGAGGATCGAACCCGGGTTAATTTTTAAAAAAATATTTATTTTTTAGTTGTAGCTGGACACAGTACCTTTATTTTATTTATTTATATGTGATGCTGAGGATCGAACCCAGGGCCTTGCCTGTGCTAGGTGAGTACTCTACCACTGAGCCACAACCCCAGCCCTTAATTTTATTTTGAGAGGGTCTCACTAAGTTGCCCCGGGGTTGGCCTGGAACTTGCCATCCTCCTGCCTCAGCTTCTCAAGAAGATGGGATTACAGAAGTGTGCCACCATACCCGGTTAGCCAGCTTTCAAAAAATGCCAGGAAAAGTCTCCTCAGATGAACCTGTGCATTTCTTTTATCAAGCAAAAGCAAAGCATCCCATGACATTTGTTTCCTGATCTAATAGGAAGCTCAGGGGTGGGCTAAGTCTCCTTTGGAAACTTAACCCCACTTAAAAAGCTTGCTGTATTTGTCTTTGCCTACTGATTGGTGTACAACTTCAAAATGTTACATTATTGCTCTTTTTTTAATATTTATTTTTTGGTTGTAACTGAACACAATATATCGATTTTATTTATTTATGTGATGCTGAGGATCAAATCTAGGGCCTCTCACATGTGAGGCCAGCGTTATACCCCTGAACCACAACCCTAGTCCTTAATTGTGGCTCTTTTGTTTGTACTTGTGTGTATCATTAGTGATTGAACCCAGGATACTCTACCACTGAGCTATTTCCTCAGTACTTTTTGTTTGTTTGGTAGCAGCAATTGAACCGAGGGGCACTTAACCATTGAGCCACCTCTCCTGCCCTTCTAAAATTTTAAAATTTAGAGACAGGATCTCCGTGAATTGCTTAGGGGCTTCCTAAATTGCTAAGCTGGCTTTGAATTGTAGCCTCCGGAGCCGCCGTGCACCACTGTGCCGGGCCTCACTTTAGCTTTTAATTGTAATTGTGTACATTGCTCCTGGAAGACAAGGTCTCTATTTTATTGTTATTTGAAACTCCAGTGACTAGGCTGGCCTCTTTTCAGGGTGATAACTCTCAACTACTCATGAACACATTTTGACGTTTTGGGCAGGTCACAAGAACTGTTTACCCACCTGACCTATCTTTTATGAGACTGTAAAATACCCCAAGGGTATTTACACTACTGAGGATCCAGTGCCAGCATAGGGGCCAGCATATAGCAGATGCTTAGTACCTGTTTGCTGCAAGAATGAACCAAGGGGCTGGGCGTGGTAGCACATGCCTGTAATCTCAGGTGCTTGGGAGGCTGAAGCAGGAGGATCGCACGTTCAAAGCAGGCTCAGCAAAAGCGAAGAGCTAAGCAACTCGGTGACACCCTGTCTCTAAATAAAAACAAAATAGAGCTGGGGATGGGGCTCCGTGGTCGAGTGCCCCTGAGTTCAATTCCTGGTAGCCCCTCCAAAAAAAAAAAAAGCGAACCAAGGGAATAAGTGATCGTAGTAAAGAATTTATAGTCTCATCCATTCTTTCGTCCCAGCGAGTCTGCAGGAATCCGTAAGTCTGCTGGAGGAACCCTCCTTCGTACCCGCGGGATGGCGGTGGACCAGACAGGGCGCCGGAGGCGGGGCACCCCGGAGCCCCGCCCATCAGAAGGTGAGGCGCTGGAGCCCCGCCTCCAGGGAGGCGGAGCCTGCGGTGCGCGGGAAGTGGCGCGCGCAACGGCGGGAGCTTGTGGCGCAGCGGACTGGCAGCTTCCCTGCAGGTATGCTTCCTGGGGTTGACCCCGCATCCCCGCAGGTTTTCCGGGCTCGCCGCGCCGGGGTGAGAGGGCCTCGCTGAGAACTGGCGGGTAGGCGAGCAGACTGCTGGGGCCTGGGTGGCTCCCGAGCGGCGCTTGTGCAGGCAGCCGGCCCCGCCCAGCGCAGCCTCCTCCCGCCAGGCCCGGGCGGGCTCCCGCTGCCCAGCGCCCGAGCCTGAGGTGGGATCTGGTGGACCCCGCTGCCGTCCCTCGCCCGTGAGGCCCTGCCCGCGAGCTCCCTCCCCCGCCTTCCGCGGCGCCCTTTCCAGAGACGGCGCCCTCCCCGAGGCGGCCCCACAGTGGACCCTTCCCTCGCCTCCGGCCTGCGCCCAGCGGGGCTCCTGCGGCGGCCGCAGCCCCCGGTCGCCCTCCCCGGGCGTTCCGCCTTGCCTTTCCGGCTTTGCCCGAGAGTCCTGCGCTGTGGGAAGCTGAGCTGAGGAGGCGCGGCTGGAGGTGGAGCGCGCAGGTGGGAAGTCGGGGTAGGGGGCGTCCTTTCCCCGGGCGGCGCGCACTTAGGCGGGTAGCGGGATTCCTGCCCAACACTGGTACTTATTCCGTTGATCCAGCTTCCCTCTGCCTTCGGAAAAAGGACCGCCCTTCAGTACTCGGGAGGATGAAAGTCATCACGTGTGAAATAGCCTGGCACAACAAGGAGCCTGTGTACAGCCTGGACTTCCAGCATGCCACGTCTGGCCGGGTCCACAGACTGGCGTCTGCGGGGGTGGACACCGCTGTCCGGGTAAAGGGGGCAGAGACCGGAAGACCCAGGGAAGCCCCACTTGGAGCCACAGTTTTCATTCTTTTATTTAAAATTTATGGCATCCTCCTCAGGTTGCTCTGTCAGCCCAGAATGCTAAATTCTTAGAACCTGAAATGAGCAATGAAAGTAAGACAGAGTAGTGTTTGTAATTTTTTTTTTTTTTTTTTTTTTAAATCTAACTTGGAATGAAACCCAGGGCCTCCTGCATGTTAGGCAAGAACTATATCACTGAGTTACATTCTCAGCCCTTTTATTTTGTGGCAGGGCTGAGTTCCCCAGGCTGATGGGAAACTTGTAACTCTCCTGCCTCAACCTCTTGAGTAGTCAGGTACAGGTGTGCACTACCATCACCAGGGAGAGTAGCTTTCTTATTTGAGTAATAGTGTCTACATTGTTCCAACTGGATGCCCATTATGTTAGAATCCTGGTCTGGGTTCCTTTGGAGTGACAATTTGCTCTAGAAAGCTGTGGGAGGGAGGACCACAGGTATGGAACTGTTCATGGTCTGATAGGAGAGATTCCTTCATTTTGTGTTTCAAAAGCAAAATTAAATTTTCTTGCTGAAAATAAGCATAGAAATGTTTTAGTACAAGCAAGGTAGTGAATGCTCATTCTTTGTTTTTTTTTAAGTGAATGTTTTGGTATCAACAGATCTGGAAGGTAGAAAAAGGACCAGATGGAAAAGCCATTGTGGAATTTTTATCCAATCTTGCTCGTCATACCAAAGCTGTCAATGTGGTGCGTTTTTCTCCAACTGGGGAAATTTTAGCATCAGGAGGAGATGGTGAGTATTGTACTTCAAAAATCCATTGGGATCTACATACCTACTTGTCTCATGTCAGTTAGTGACATTTGAGCTAAATATCCTTTTTATTTCAGGTATCACTGATCTTCTCAATCTGGCATTTAGATAGTTCAGTAAAATACTATTTGGGCAAGTGTGTCAGAGTGAGGAGATGGAGGATAACAATATTAAACTTAGAAGACCTGCTTGAAAACAGTTCTTTTCCACTTGCTCCTTGAAGATGGTTGGAATCAGGCAGGAAGGGTGCTTGTCTTTTGTCAGTGTTGCAACAGTTCTGGCTCTGTTTGGTTGTTTAATATCTATGGTGATTAGAGTGGGTTCCATGGCTCTGTGTAATTAATTGGTTTCAGGAATTACTTTAATGAATAGCCTTCTAACTTGTCATTGTTTGGTAAGAGCAGATGGATTCAGATTTTCTGTCTGCTTAAAACTATACAGAAAAGTAAATCTTTTACCATACTTTCAAATAGTATAGAAAATGTATAAGATAAAGTAAATGTGTGTTTTTATTTGGAACAAGAGGAAAGGGAAATAGTTGAGTTCAGTGCTATGAGGCTCAGAGTGTGTCATATGTATGTGGTTTGTGTGTGTGTTTACAGGAAAAGGTAGAGGGTGGAAGACCACTGGGAGGCCAAAGGCTGTCTCCTGTGAAGTTGCACAGGACAGCTCTGGTTTTGCAAAGCCTCTTGGCCTTGAAGACCCAGAAACCTGCTATTCTTCAGTGTATGTAGAGTATCCATCTGTCAGAGCCAATCATCTCAGCCAAACTCCCAGACTAATGCATGCATCCAGGGTTCTAGTCAAGTTTGAGTGGGACACATATGTTCATAACATTGGCAAAATCCATTTACTTTGCTCCTATGAACATTTTTAAACAAGAAGCTAAATCATTGTCAGAAGGTTATGTAGGAAGTGTAGAGTCAAAATGTGAGGAGTCATCAGGCACAAGACATAGCTAGCTAGCATCAGGCTAAGATGACTGGTATATCCATAATGAATTAATTATTGACACTTAAATGGAGCATTCCATGCACCAGGCATCATATTGTAAATGCTTTATGCATATTGACCCACTTAGCCCTCACAATAGCCCAATCAGGTAGTTATATTATTATTATTATTATCCTCATTTTATATGTATACATATTTTTTTAAATTATATATTTAAGTTGTCGATACACCTTTATTTATTTATATATGGTACTGAGAATTGAACCCAGTGCCTCACACATGCCGAGCAAGTGCACTACCATTGAGCCACAGGCCCTCACCCCCTCATTTTATATTGAGGAAACTGAGTCATCAAGATATTCAGTGACTTGCTGAATGTTACAGAGGAACAATTTGTAAACTTTTGCATTGGTGGGTCTTTGCCTCCCCCCCTTTTTTTTTTTTTCCTATTCAGCTACATGTAGCTTATGCCTTAATTTGTTAAGGCAATGGCATTTTGCTGACTATGGGGATCCTTCTTTAAGGTGACTTTGTATAGCTCTGGTCTGAGGCTGATTTTTTTGTAATGTTAGTTTAGAAGGCAAGCCTATTCTTCCTGTCCAGATTCTTTTTTTTTTTTTTTTTTATAATATTTATTTTTCAGTTATCGGTGGGCACAACATCTTTGTTTGTATGTGGTGCTGAGGATCGAACCCGGGCCGCACGCATGCCAGGCGAGCGTGCTGCCGCTTGAGCCACATCCCCAGCCCCCTGTCCAGATTCTTAACAAAAGTAAATCATCATGGCCACAGTGTCCACTGAACAGAAAAAATATTGTTTAATGCCCTAAAAATCCAGAAATGGAGGAGTGTGCAGTGAAGCATGGCTTATCTGAAATTGAATCTCTCCACAGATGCTGTCATTCTGTTGTGGAAGGTGAATGATAACAAGGAGCCAGAACAGATTGCTTTTCAGGATGAGGATGAGGCTCAGCTGAATAAGGAGAACTGGACTGTTGTAAAAACCCTGAGGTGACCTAAGGAGGGACTGTGGGAGTAATTTATCTTTATCACCTGACACATTAAATGGAACATGCCTTTTGACCTTTATATCTAACTTAAAACTTACTTATATGAGATAGTCATAAGAAATAAAAGATAAAAACATGATTAAAGAGGATTTTCTTTTATAAAGTTTTCCTTAGTAGAAAGTAATCAACATCAAATATACAAATATCTTTGAAAGCAGTTGTTTATAGCCAGTGCTAATATAATTCTTGTGGAAATTTCTAGAATCTCATTCTAGTGCATGATTCCAGAGTTTGTGTTTATAATTTTAGCAACCTTTTCCTTTTTGGGATAATGACTTTTTTTTCCTCTCTGTCCTGTTTGGGTTCTAGGGGCCACTTAGAAGATGTTTATGATATTTGCTGGGCAACTGATGGGAATTTAATGGCTTCTGCCTCTGTGGATAACACAGCCATCATATGGGATGTTAGTAAAGGTAAGAGAGGTTTTTTATTAGTGGGGGATGGAATATTCTAAGTATTTAAAAAAGTGTAGCCTGCTTTATCTTTAAAAGCCATAAGAAAAGTTTCTGAAGTGAACTAAAATTGGTGGTTGTACTAACAGAAGACGGATTAGTCCCATATGCCGTGGGTCCAACTCAGTTTTTAGGGCTCCATTCAGAGTGTAGGAGGCTTTGCAGTGGTGTTGTGAGTTACTGGTGCCTGTGAGAGGCAAATCTCATGTGCTTGAGAGGCAGACATGAGGGGAACAGGCACCAAGCAGAGGACTTGGTCATTTGTAACGAATGTGGCATTGCATCCTGGTTGGTGTAGGTGCGATCAGGTTTCCATTTTAGGAAATCAAGGAAAGCTGAGGACATTCCACTGCCTTTACAGCATTTGTTCTCTGTTCTGGGAGACAGGAGCTATGTGAGAAGTTGCAGTGGTTTCCAAAGCCAATAGTAGCTAATTCCCAGTCATCTTTATCCTCTTCAGTCCTTTATTCAGACCTTTTCTTCTCACCCAGACTCTTCCTGTACTCTTGTCTAATGTGCAGGCAACTCACTGTCTCACAACCCAAGTGCCTGGCTAGGGAGTCCAGGATTGGAGTTGGCATTGGCCGTTACTATGTACTATATCAGTTCAGTTTTCATCTATTCTAAAAATCTCTGTTCTATCCAGCCATTTGGGCCATCCTCTTTCCAGCCTATGTCTGTCATCCTCTCACTAATCAATACCCAGTATTCTGGCATGATGAAGGACCAGTGTCACTGTCTTTTTTTTTTTTAAGTTGTAGATGAGCACAATATCTTTGTTTATTTATTTATTTTTATATGGTGCTGAGGATCAAACCCAGGGCCTCACACGTGCAAGGCAGGCACTCTACCACTGATCTATGGCCCCAGCTCCAGTGTTACTGTCTTCTGTCCTCTTCATATCTGGCCATTGTTTTCAATGATTTCAGTTCTGTGAGGCCAGTGCATCTAGTACCCCCTCAAGCTAGTTGTAATGACCTTGAACATTGTGAGTATGCTGGCCACTACTGTAGTTGCTGGCAACAGTGGGTCTGAAATGGCTACATGGTAGTGGTGGGGGGTGCGGACAAATACACAGATTGGTATAATGTCAAAATAGGTGCTAGGAAAGGCTGTTTGGGAGAACTACCGTGAGCTTTGGGCCCTTGTACAAACAGGCCTGACTGAAGTGAGAGAGCAAACTGTGTACATTATTTAGGAAAAGAGTGCTTCACCTGTGGGAACTGTAAGAACAGGCCCTGTGGCAGGAGTCGCCTGCCCTATCCAAGGAACAGGATGGAGTAAATGTGAGGGAGGATGGGACTTGACAATACTTGCTGATGGACTGGCTATAATTCTAAGCTTTTGGCAGCCAGGTGGATATTGGTGCCATTTCCTGAGATTAGGGACTCTGTGGGGAGAAATAGTTTTGGCAGAGTGGCTGAAGTCAAGGATACATCTTAGACCCTTGTTGCTTAACTGTTCTGCCAATGTCAACCAAGTGTCCTGCTCTTTCACTAAAACCTCATCTCCTTCAGGTTTTTGAATGTGTTTACCCTCAGCTTTGTCTTTCAGTGTGCACAAATCCTAAGTCCTCTGCTTACCGTTTTTCAGCTACTCTGGCCTGTTATTTCCCCTCCCTTGCTCCCCAACAGAATCATATACCTGCCTGTCAGTCCCTCTGACCGTCTTTCCATCTCCATGTCCACCTTCACAGACCCCAGCCTGGGCTGAGTGCAGTTGCTTCCAAGCCTGCATTCCTTTTGCTTGTTAGGGTCAGACTGATTTGCCTTCTCCCACTAGCTATTTCAGACCTTCAGAGGTCTTCTGCATCCCTCTTCTCAACCCCTGCACCTCAATCCCAGCAGATTTCCAGAAAAGAGTTTCAGAGAGAGAAAGAGAAGTGCCATCAAGTAGAGCAGAAGGGCAGGGAGTTAGACTGAAACATGTATGTTGCATGTTGTGTGTGTATGTCACTGGCAGCTTGAAGATTGACAGTTTCGGTGGGTGGTGGGGAGCGACTTCAAAGTGAAGTGCTGGGAAAGCGACTTGCATACCACTTTTGAGAGGCTTTTCTTGCTTGCTTTGTTCCTTTTTTAAGAACGATTAAGGCTTTTGAATGATGATTTAAAGTGTCATTACTTCTTCACTCCTATTATGAGTGAAGTATAACAGTCTGGCAAACCTGTAAGTTTGGGGCTAGTCACATTTTCTGAAGGGCAGATAGGGAGCCTCATTTTGTTTAGAAGTTAGCAGAACGAGTATGAAGTTAAATTAGTAGGATTTCAGGCTGATGTTTGTTGCAGAAGAATCTAGGCCTGCAGATGGATGTAGCATCCTTGTAGGCTTGCATCCTGTGCCATAGGCTTGTATGTGTGAGTTGGTGGAAGCCTTTTGTGTGAACATCAAATCAGTCTGATTGAGGTTGATGACAAGAGATGAGGGGAATGGGTAGGGCGTTGTAAAATGACACAGGGAACCTCATCAATTAGTTGGTTGCAGTCTGCCATGGTTAAGGATTTGGTATCAGATGGATGTCAACAGAGAATACTTTGCTGAGAGCCATAGCCAAGTAGGAATGATGCATGGCATTTTTGGTTGAAAGGTGATGCCAGCAAGCCATTGAGATGAAATGATTATGTTAAGATCTGCATTCAATTGGATATTAGACCCCTGCTGTCCGCCATGGCCTGCTACTTTGGAGCTCTAGCGGGACTCCCGGAGAGTTCCCATTGGTTGGGGAAGTGCGGTAGGAGGGAATTCCAGAGGAGGGATTTCCTGTTGGTGTAGTGTGTCCTGGGAGAAGGCCGCGTGCGTGGCATTCGTGGGACTTTTGGAAATAAAGTGTGTTCCTGCTTGAGTGGCTCGTGATTTTGTGCCCAGCCAGACTGCGGCAATACTTAAAATGTAAGAATTGAACAAATAAAAAATTGGCTGATGAAAAAAATGGTTAAGGCTCCATAACTCCTTTTTATCCAGGGAACCTCACTGTGCTGCTGGCTTTATTTTCCGAGTATTTTCCTCAAAGTCTCTTCACCATCCCTATTAACATTGCTCCAGTTCAGGCCCTTCTTAGCTGATCTCCTAACTAGTGACTATTTTTGCCAACTCTCCTGAGCCTCAGTTTCATCTTTAAAACATGGTCACTTCCCAGTTGAGTGTTCTTGGCTCATGCCTGTGCCTTTTCCTCACCCACAGGGAATCTGGATTATATCTCTTTTCCTCACGATTTGGCTCTCACCTTACCTAGTAGCAGTTCTCAGTTACTTGTCACTACACCATCTATGCTTAGCTCAGCTGTTGTAGAATACCCTTCCTGTTCCCTTTCATCCCCCCTACATCCTGTGAAGACATCGGGTCTTCTCTGATGCTTACTCCTGCTTCTCCTCTGATCTGTGTTGTGTTGTACCTGTCTGTAGCTGCCCCTGGCTTTCCATTATTCTATGAGCTTGAGTGTAGGGGTTGTGTGGAATCGGCTGTCACAGGTTTGGAACAGAGCCTGTCTCTTGCTGTCTGCTGAATGATGCAGTGGAATAAAGGGAATAATATTTATGTCATAGTTTATATAATTTGTTCCCAAGGAGGTTTTGGTAATGCTGTTGCTTTTTTTGTAGGACAAAAGATTTCAATTTTTAATGAACATAAAAGCTATGTACAAGGAGTAACCTGGGATCCTTTGGGTCAATATGTTGCTACTCTAAGCTGTGACAGGTATGTTAGTATTTGGCAAGTTGTCTTTGCTTGGTATTTTCTGCAAAATGGTTTTTTTTTTTTTTTAATTTTTTTTTTTTTTGTAGTCATGGATGGATAGAATGCCTTTCTTTTATTTGTTTATTTTTATGTGGTGCTGAGGATCAAACTCAGTGCCTCACGCAAGCTAGGCAAGCACTCTGCCGCTAAATCACAGTCCCAGCCCTGCAGAGGTATTTTTATTACAACCAAGATCAATAATAGTCTAGCTCTGATTTTTTTGTTCTTTTTTTCATACTCTTATAATAAGTGGAAACTGATTAGGGCAGGTACCTTACACAGATTTAGCACTTGGTAAATCTTTATTGAAGGGTGAATTAATGTAGGAAGAACTATTATATTTGATTTCTCAGGAGAATTAAAAAGTCTTTTATGAGTGGGGCGCAGTGGTGCAGGCCTGTAATCCGAGTGGTTAGAGAGCCTGAGGCAGGAGGATCTCAAGTTCAAAGCCAGCCTCAGCAACAGAGAGGTGCTGAGCAACTCAGTGAGATCCTGTTTCTAAATAAAATACAAAAAAAGTATTGGAGATGTGGCTCGGTGGTTGAGTGCTCTTGAGTTCAGTTCACAGTACCCACCCACCCCCCCAAAAAAAAGTCTTTCATGAATATGACTTAAACAAAAAATGCTAGTTGGAGTATTTATTTAGCGCTCTCTCTTTCTCTCTCTCTCTTTTTTTTGTGGTGATGGAGATTGGATTTGGGGTCTCATGCATATTATGTCAGTGCTCTATCACTGAGCCATATCTATAACTCCTATATTTGACACTTTTTAAAATTTGTATTTGTTGTAGATGGACACAATACCTTTATTTTATTTACCTATTTTTATGTATTGCTGAGGATCGAACCCAGTGTCTCATACGTGTGAGGCAAGTGCTCCACCACTGAGCCACAACCCCAACCCCTATGTTTTACTTTTTGATGAAAGTTACTAGTATAGTGATTTTAATGACCCCATTTAAATTTTTAATGACTGCATTTAAATTTAATAGAAATTAAATATTTTGTCCTTCTTGAAAAGAAGCCTTGTTGCTGTATTTATTGGTACTATTGCATTTAAGCTCTGGGGTTCCAGGTGTATTATTTAACCCATTAAGTTCCAAGTTTTTAATTCTGAATATTTTAATAAAATTGATATAAGCGCATTTAAATAGATTAGAAATCATAACCTAGAGCTTATATATTATGTAAATTATTATTTAGTAATATTATAATTAATACAATTAGATTCTTCTTATTATATGTAGTATATTTAAGCTTTAATATCTGGGAACATAGAACAAAGTAGTTTAACATAATAGTCCTTTTAAATATTCATCCAACTACTTTTAACTAAAAAATTGAATTTAATATAACCCTGGCCTAAAAGCAACATGTAGGAGTTAGTGTTTATTTTTCATAGACTCTCCTGTTGTATTCTGGATGCCATTTATTTTATGATATTTGTGTTTTGTTCAGGCAATCAGGAGTAACCAGTTTGATTGGTTAGTAAGAATAATATGAGTTAACAACCAGATTTTCTGCTGGAGTTCCCTTAATGTTCTAAATCTCCAAGAGTGAGACTCTTTTAACACAAAACAAACTTCACTATAGTCATACAAATTGCCACTGGGACAAATGTCTAAGATCTGAAACACAAGACTGGGCCTGAAGTGTGTCTCACTTGAGAAGTTGAAACATGGACTGAAAATAAAATTGTGACATTTTTACCACTGCCGTTTCCTTAAGGTGGTTAATATTTGCCTCTGTCATAATTCTTCAATTAAGTCTAAATGTCAGTAGTACTGGTCTGCAGACTCGGAGTCCTTGGGGCAGTCATAGATTGGTAATAGATTGCTTCTGTATGAATCATAATTCATTTGCTAGAAGAGGAAAATCTATTCTTTCTTCAGGGTATTGAGGGTGTACAGCACACAGAAGAAGCGTGTGGCTTTTAATGTTTCAAAGATGCTGTCTGGAATTGGGGCCGAAGGAGAGGTATGAAATATCATGACATCCTTTCAGAAGTCTGTTAATTGAGACTTAGGAAGTCAGGAGGTCCTCCCTTGTAGCTAAATCACTGGCCTCGGGACTGGACACCTGGACTAAGTATACCATAAGGTTTCCTCTTGGAATGGAAGGGGACTGGTCTGTATGGAAATGGGGACATCTGGGGACAGGAGAGAGCCAGTGGTGGATGATCGTGGTTTGCAACCTAGCAAATCACCTGGGAGGCATTAAAAGTGAGTGTTCCCTTGGCTTGAGGTAGCAGGGTCTCCATGATTCTCAGGTCTAGCTAGAGTGTATCACAACTGATCTGGGAAGATTCTTGTATTAGGCAGCAGAAGGCAAGTTGGGTGTGGTAGTGCATGCCTATAATTCCTGAGGCTGAGGCAGGAGGATTGCAAATTCAAAACCAGTCTAAACAACTTGGACTTGATCTCAAAATTTAAAGTATCCCTGGGTTCAATTCTCAGTGCCAAAAAAAAAAAAAAGTTGGTTATGATGGTGCACACCTGTAATCTCAGGAATTTGGGAGGCTGAGGTAGGAGGACTGTAAATTTGAGGCCAGTCTCAGCAATTGGTGAGGCACTAAGCAATTTAGCAAGGCCCTCTCTCAAATATTAAAAGGGCTGGAGATGTGGTTCAGTGGTAAAGCACCCCTGAGTTCAGTTTCCAGTACCAAAAATAAAGGCAGGTGGGTTGAATGTTGCCTCAGCGGTAGCAGACAGTATACCATCTTGCAGGTCAGTGGAGAGCTCTGACAAAGCCAGCATAGATCACAGGGCTGGTAGTTAGGAGTAGGAAGGATCTGAAAGAACAACGAGTAGGACTCTGTTCCTAAGCAGTCATGACTTTCGAGGCAGACACTTAGGTGAGGGGGAGCAAGTCAGTTTTTGGAGCAGCAAGGGGACTTGGTGCAAACCCAGCCCAAGGGGCCAGGGGAAGGCCCTGTGGGTATAAACTGACTGGCACTGAGAGATCATGTCTATAAAGGAAGGATAGTAATGCCTGCTTCCTTCAGGTGTTCAGAATGGAATGCTAACAGTTATAAGGTATTAATAAATGGTGGCAGAGGCTGTCCCACACAGATGTTCAAGAAATGTTGTAAAAACCCGGTAAAGAGCAAAGGTCTCCTGGTTGTCTTCCTGCTTCTCTCCAGTCTTACTCTCCAGACAAACCACTGTGGTGGGGTGGGGTGTATACAGAGTTTTAAAAAATTATTATACAAACACACATACACATATGGAGACACAGATGCACATATATAACTTAACAGAAAGAGATATTCAGTTCTAATGATTATTTGATTTGTAATATGTTTTAATTTTAGTTATTATTACATCGTTAATAAATGGTAAAGATTTAGTGTGTAAATCTTTATTTAAAGATTTAGAGTAATGTTTAAACTTTGTATGCTACAGGTGAGAAGTTACCGGATGTTCCATGATGACAGTATGAAGTCCTTCTTTCGTAGACTCAGTTTTACTCCTGATGGATCTTTGCTCCTCGCCCCAGGTGTGTTGACAGCTTTTGATCTAAGGGTGTGATGACAGAACAAGGGTGCCTGTGCTGCCCTTTTGTAATGCTTCTTTTCAACTCAGTGAAGTCTGATCAGAGCATTGGTCTCCAACTTGTCTGCACATTGAAACCTCCAAGGGAGCTTCCAAAAGATAGTGCTGTGTCCCACTCTAGAGATGGGAGTTTATTGGTATGGGGTGTATTACCTGGCTTTTGGAATTTTAAAAACATTTCCAAGTGATTTTGATATTCAGGTAAGTTTGGGAATGATGAAACTAGAGTGGTAAACAGTTTATTTTAGATAAATTTTTCAGTAAAAAACATTACCAATAAAACCTTTTACTGAGTGATTTTTTTTTATTAGACATGTATGTGGAAGTCATAGTTCTAAAGCCAAAAATAAAGTGCCTATTATTTTTATTATTCTCAAGAATGAAGCCACCTTCATTGGAGAGGGACAAGTTTGGTTGAACTAACCTGTGGGAGTTTAGTTGTCAAATCTGAAAAGTCAGCAAAATCAGCAAGGGAAAAATAGATTTATTGGCTACAGGAAGGCAGAAGGTTAAGCCCAACATGATCAGGCAGAGCAGTGTTGTGGCTAGATTGTCCACAGAGATGTCAGCTAATTTATATGGCTTGACGAACATCCTTAGCATGAAGATGACAGTATTGCCCAGGTCAGGTTTGCCACCAAGAGTCCCAGTCAGGCTGGGCATGAGTCATTCATGCATATATATGGGTGAGGCTTTAAGGAACTTTGAGAGCATTTTGGGGACACTTCGGTGCAAGAAGATTCAGGACCAAGAAGTAGTAGTTGCTAATGTTGTTTACTAAAGTTACTCACAAAAATATTTTTATGCAAATTTATTTACTAAACTTAATAAAAAATCCTTTATTAAATGGCAACTCCCCAAATATCTTTAGTTAAGATAAGGTACCAGATCGGAGTTTGCTATCACCATTATTGTTTTTTGTGAGGTTAATAAATATAGGAAAACAGGAAAATGAAATTACCCAGATTGAAAGAGATAAACAACTTTTTATGCCTTTGATAGGATTGTATTTATAGAAAAATCTAAGGGATTTAAAATATAATATAAGCATTACAAAAAAAGAATTTGATAAGGTGGCCAGTATTGGGTAAATACATAAAAATCTGTATCTTCTATACTGCAGTAAGTCTAAGAAATGGAAAGAGGAAAAGTATCCCAGTAGGAGCTGCAGGTGTAGCCTGGTGGTGGAGTGCATGCTTAGCATGAATGAGACCCTGGGTTCAATCCCAGCACTGAGGAAGAATCCATTTATATTAGTGAAAAACCCATAAAATACATGAAAGTGAATTTAATAAAAAAAGGCACAGAATGTTTATGAAAAATTCTAGATTCTATTATTAAAGATTGTAAAACAAGTTCTTTTTTTTTAATATATTTTTTTATTAGCTGTTGACAGACCTTTATTTTATTTATTTATATGTGGTGCTGAGAATCAAACCCAGTGCCTCACACATGCTCAGCAAGCACACTACCACTGAGCCACAACCGGCCCCATAAAACAAGTTCTGTATAAATGGAAATATATTGTGTTCTGAAAATTATCACCAGTTTAATTTTCAATTTAAGTCCTATTAGAGGGTTTTTTTGTTCTGTTTTGATTTGTAGTACTGGGGATTGAACCCAGAGGTACTTCACCACTAAGCCACATCCCCCAGCCCTTTTTCTTTTTTGTTTTAGCAAGGCCTTGCTAAGTTTCCCAGGCCGGCCTTGAACTTGGCATCTGCCTACGTCAGCCTCCTGAGTAGCGGGGATTATGGTTGGGTGCCATTGAATCTACAGGTATTTTTTTTTCTTTTTCTTTTTGTGGTGCTGAGGCTTGAACCCACAGCCTTGTGCGTACAAGGCAAGCATTCTACTAAGCAAGCTATATCCCCAGCTCCCTGTTTTTTTTTGTTTGTTTTTTTTTAGTTGTAGTTGGATACAATACTTTTTAAAAATTATGTGGTGATGAGGATTGAACCCAGGGTCTTGCACTTGCTAGGTGAGCGCTCTACTGCTGAGCCACAACCCTAGCCCCTATTTTTTTTAAAATCTCAGTTTTCTTTAGTAGAACAAATGCTGACAAGTATCCGAGGAAATATGAAAAAAAAAAAAAAAGGAAAAAGAGTTGAGTGTTTGCCTCATCAGATACCAAAAAACACTCTGACACTACTGTTGTCAAATCAATATGGTATTGATATAGGACTACACTAAAAAACTAGTGAACTAGACTGAGAAACGAGAAATAGGGATATAAGGGAATTTAACATATGATCATAGGTGGAATTTTATTGGGGAAAATAGGTTAACCAGTGAATGGTACTGAAAAACTGTATGAAAGAAGATAAAAAATTAATTCTAAGCCAGGCACTGTGGTGTACACCTGTAATCCCAAGGTTCTGGGAGGCTGAGGTAGGAGGATCACAAGTTCCAAGTTCCAGGCCATTCTCAGCAACTTAGAGAGACCTTCAGCAATTTTGCAAGACTGTGTCTCAAAAAATAAAATGGGGTTGTAGCTCAGTGGTAAAGCAATACCCCAATACCAAAAAAAGAAGGGAAAAAAAGAAAACAATTTTCAGGTAAATATAATACTTAACTATAAATACAAAAATATAGAACTCCTAAAGAAACAACAGGTCTGTTTGCATTTTAATATAAAACTTTGATAATGGCAAAAGATGCAGCAAGTTGAACTAGTGGATGGATGGTGGAACTGGAAAATAATATTTGTGTTTGTGGTATAAGGAAGAAAGGGCTGCTATATATTGTATTCAACAATCCTAAATACACAGAGGAAGAAAATCTCAGAAGAAAAATGGCAGTTTGTAGCAGAGCAAAGCTACATATTGAGTGGACCACAGGAAAAGATTCTAAAACTCAGTAGGGAAGTACAGATTGAAGTATCATAACAACTAGATGTCTCTTTATTTCCATCAGACTGGAAAAATAATACTATTGCATGCAGAATGTGGGTATTGTTGCTGGGAGAGTGGGTCACCATTTTGGAAAGCAGTCTGGTAACATTTAAATGTGTGTGCCATCCAGTCCATCTGTCCACATCTGAGAGCCAGTTCCTTAAGAAGTGAATGCAACCTGGAATCTAACCTGAGAGTCATGGAGGCCTCCCAGGGTTTGGCATAAGCCAAGACCTTGAGCCCAGAGACCTTGCCCATTATCTGGGTGGGGAAGATCTCACCAGAGGAGAAAACATTTTAGAAATGTGCTGAAAAATGAATAAACACTTGCCAGATGGCTAATAGTTTGGGGCATGGTGATATGGGGATAAGCATTTTAATTTAAATATAGTAGTAAAAGATACACAACAAAATTTACCACCTTAATCATTAAAAAAAAAAAAAAGTAAATGCATAGTATGTAAGGTGTGTTTCAAAGATGTTTACTGCAAGCATTGTAGTGGTTAAAAAAACACACACACACACACACAAAGCAATACTCATTAACAGAGGAGGTAGTTTTATACCAGTAAATAGTATGCAGCTACTAAGAAAAAAAATGCATTAGGGCTAGGGATGCAGCTCTTAGTAGAGCATTCGCCTAGTGTAAGTCAGGCCCTGGGTTCAATTCCCAGTTGCCAAAAATAAGTAGATACAAATTGACCTTCATGAGTAGTTGGCTGAGAAAAGCAAAATAAGGAAAAGTTTAAATAATATCTCATTTCTTAAGATTCTAAAAAGAATCTATCATATGGGTATACATGTGGTTGAGTTACAGCTGTCTGCATTGATTATATGAGAATAGAAGAAATATAAAAGTGACATAATGGTTTATTAAAATGGATTACTTGGAGGTGGAAAGATAGACAAGATGGGTAGAGGGTTAGCAAAGCAAGAAATAGTAAATAGACTGCTGGTACTGCTGACTGCTCTTTCTGATAGATATGAAATGGTCATATATAAAATGATATGTGTATGTGTCAAGAGATACGAACATGGAGTAGGGAGGAGTTTATAAGAGCACTTTAATGTCACAGCCTCTCCCTGGTAGGCTTTGCCCTGGCTTTCAGTACATCTAGAGTAAGTGAGGACAAGCTGTCAGAACTGTTCCCCAGAGCAGTCAGGCTCTGCTTGAGGCTGGGGATCGCTGCACTGGCTGGCTCTCCTTGCATAGTCAAGTCTGGATCAGGCAGATGGGGAAAAGCCCGGGTCTCAGTCTCTGGATGACAACCAAGGACTAAATCCAGGGATAGAGAGTCGGCTCCTAGGCGGATCCTGGGCAGCTGGATCTAGTTTCAGGCTTCATCAGCTTGATTTGCCTGGATTTTCAAAAATGTTTTATATAGCAAGGGTTCCCTACTTTATGTTCCAGTTCCCAGGGAGCTGCCAGACCCTCAGGTGAAGATGCAGATAGGTAGAACTGGAGTAAAGAGCAAAAACAGATAGTGATGGAATATTTGTACTTGTCTTCAATAAAAAAATAACATTGTCCAGAGAATACCATTATGGGGGAAAACTTGACAAGCCAGAATTGAAGGCTCTTAAACTTTTGCTGGAGAACAGTCTAACCTAACACTGACTTTCCTCTCTTTTCCTTCTGTTCCACAGCTGGATGTGTGGAATCCGGTGAAAATGTAATGAATACAACTTATGTTTTCTCCAGGAAAAATCTCAAAAGGTATACAATAGAGGGAGTATTTGAGATGCTTGCCCTCTCTTTGTGCTTTTGCTGAGCGGCAGTGTCTATTTCTAAACTATGTTTAATTTTTTAGGCCTATTGCCCATCTTCCATGTCCTAGCAAAGCCACGCTCGCTGTTCGCTGCTGCCCTGTCTACTTCGAATTGAGGCCGTTGATGGAAACAGGTACCCTTAGGGCCACAGTGCTGTGCTGTGTTCTTTCTGAGGCAGGTCACTGGTCGGGTGGGGATTGCATGTGTTTTGGGAAAAGGTGTGTATGTGGGTTTGATTCATTCTTTTTTTTTTTTTTTTTATTATTGATACTTAAAAATTGTACCTATTTTTTTATTGATACTTAAAAATTGAACCTATTTATGTTAATGTGCAATATGATGTTTTGATACATGTATGTATTATGTAACGTTCAAATCAGGACATATCTGTCTCAAACATTTATCATTTCTTTATTTTGTACCAGGGATTAAACCCAGGAGTGCTTAACCTCTGAGCCATATCACCAGCCCTTTCATATATTTTATTTAGAGACAGGGTCTTGCTGAGTTGCTAAATGCCTCACTAAATTTCTGAGGCTGGCTTTGAATTTACAGTCCTCCTGCCTCAGCCTCCTGAGCTACTGGGATTACAGGCATACACCACTGCTCTGCCCAGCTATCATTTTTTTGTTGTGAAAACATTGAAAATTCTTTCTTGTAGGCTTTCTGAAATATACAGGATAGTTGTGTCATCTATATTCATCATCCACAGCAGAATTTCTATCTCCTGTTCTGTAACTTAGTACCTATTGACCAACCTTTCCTAATTCCTCCCTCTCCCTCTTTTCTCCCTCATATCTGGTAATTGATATTCTATTCTCGCCTTTTATGAGATCATCAGTTAAGTTACCCTTAAAAGCTGGAGCAAGGACTGATGTTATCAACATGTATGTCAGCTTTTTTTTCCCCATTGTCCAGAATACATTTTCTTGCTTACCACAACTTTAGAGAATAATAAGTGCTAGTTTTGTGTTTCTGCTGATTGAATGTCATTCATTATTGATTTTCTAGGCAGTAAAATTATGTGTAAATTAGGTTTTTGTTTTTAACTCCCTCCCCCAGCTGCTTTTAAGATTTTTCTTTTTATCAATGACTTTAGGCAATATAAATATGATGTGCCTAGATGTAGTTTTATTCATATTTCTTGTGCTTGGGGGTTCATTGAATTTCTTAAGTCAGTCAGTTTATAGTTTTTATCAAATTAGGGTGTTCTTGCAAGTGATTGTTGTCCTATTCATCAGGGACTTTGATGATGTATTAAGCTGTTTGAAGTTATCCCATGGCTTATTGATGACCGTTTCCTTTTTCAGGTTTTTTTCCCTCTCTGTGCTTTGATTTAGAAGTTTTGACAGCTGTGTTTTGAGCTCATTAATTTTTTCTTCTGTATGATCTACCTGTGGTCCTGTCCAGTGTATTTTTCATCTGTGACATGCAGTTTTCGTCTCTTGAAGTTTAGTTTCAGTTTGAGTCTTTCTTGTATATTCTTGTCTCTTTGTGTGTGTGTGTGTGGAGGGTACTGGGGGTTGAACTCAGGGGCATGTAACCACTGAACCACATCCCCAGCCCTATTTTGTATTTTATTTAGAGACAGCACCTCCCTGAGTTGCTTAGTGCCTCACTCTTTGCTGAGGCTGGCTTTGAACTCTTGATCCTCCTACCTCAGGCTCCCAAAGCTCTGGGATTACAGGTGTGCGCCACTGTGTCTGGCAACCCATGTCTTTGAATATGTTGCTTCTTTTCTCTTGCTTCTTGAGCTTATAGAGTACAGTTACAATAACTTTTGATGTTTTTGTATATAAGGTTATTTTTTTATTTCCTCCTAATTGTGGGTAATATTTTCCTGGCTCCTCACATGCTTTGAACTTATGCAAGCATTGTGAAATTTACCTTAGTGGATGTGCTGGATAGTTTCATTCCTATAAGTTTTCTTGAGGTTTACTCTGGGATGTAGGGAAGTTACTTAAGAACATTTTGATTCTTTTGGGTCTTGGTTTTAAGCTTTGTTAGATGCCGTCACAGTAGCATTTGGTCTTGGGCCAATTTTCCCTATTCTTGAGGCAAATCATTCTGAATAATCTATGCCCTGTGAAATATGAAGCTTCTCACTGAGTTGGTTTTTTGTCACTATGACCAAAATTCCTGACATAAACAACTTAAAGGAGGAAAGGTTTATTTTGGTTATGGTTTCAGTTGGTTAGCTCCAAGGCAAAAACATGTTATAAAGGTGTGGCAGAAGAAAGCTGCTTATGGTAGCCAGGAAGCTGAAGAGGGCATTGAAGGGGCCAGGAACAATATAAACCCTTCTTAGGGGCTGCCCTCAGTGACTTTTACTTCCTCCAACTAGGTCCCACCTCCCAGTAGTTCATTCAGCTAATGGATTAATCTGTCATATCCATCAAATGGATTAATCCACTCATGAAGACATAGCCCTCAAAATTCAATCATCATCTAAAAGCCCTACCTCAGAAACTTGCTGCATTTGGAGACCTTGCTTTCAAAACATGAGCTTATGGGGGACATTCCAGATCCAAGTTGTAGCATCCATGCTGGCTGGATTCCTGGCCTGCTGTGAGCTTCAGGGATTGCTCTTTCTTTCTGATAGATCTTGCTCAGCCTCAGGTACTGTCCTCACAGGTATGCACTGCTCAGTACTCAGGTGATGACTCAAAGCTCTTTGCAACTCTTTCTATAGCTTTTGTGTCCCTGCCTGTGAGCACTGGCTGCCTTGGCCTTTCCCAGCTGCCTGCTCTGTCTTCTCGACTAGGGGTCTGCGAGGCCTGATCTAGGTTCTCGCTACCTTTTTGGCACCTGGAAGCACACCAGGCAGTAATTTGAGGCAATTGTAGGACTTAACTCACTTGCTGCATTTCTCAGAGATCATCCTTTGTTGCCTGATGGCTAGTGTCTTGAAAACGTGCTTTATATATTTTACCTGGTATTTTAGTGGTTTTCAAGTGAAGGGTTGGTCTCTGTTATTCCTGTTATTCTGCTGGAAGCAGAAGCTGTTTTTGACTTTTTAACTCTTAATGTAGATGAATATAGCCAGATTGACAGAGCATTATAGCATCTCCTGGTGGAATGTTTCTAAATATACCATGTGTTTTCTTATCAGAACGTGACCACTCAGAATGACTTCTTCCCTTTTCTTGTCTTTTTCGGACCTCGGTGCCCATGGCATACTGTCCTTACTGTTGTGTTCCTTTGTACATTTCTTTTATTCATATATAAAGAATTCTTTGTAAAGAACAGCAAACTGGTTTTTAGTAAAGCTCTCATTTACATTTCCCTGAGACAGGGCTTTTTGAGGGAATTGGTTATTTCCTTTGGGAACTTGATTTTGTCCTCTATTCTGCCCATCTCCCCTGCAGATCAGGGATCACATGAGCCAGCCATGGAACTGTTGAGCCTGCCCTACCGCGTGGTGTTTGCAGTGGCTTCTGAGGATTCCGTGCTGCTCTATGACACCCAGCAGCCTTTCCCCTTTGGCTTCGTGTCTAACATACATTACCACACCCTGAGTGATATTTCGTGGTGAGTGCTTGCCAATGAGCAAAGGAGGAGATAGAGTCCTGTGACCTGGGTACACCTTGGGCTAGGAGATATGTCAATACTAAAAATGGCCCTTTTGGCCCCATTTGCCAGTCACATTAAAAGGAAAAAATTCTGGTTTGTTGCGAAGCTTGCTTCCTGGTTTAACAGTTGTAGGTTTGATGTCATTCAGGTTGCCCTATGGGACTAGTGGAGCTCTCATAAACTGCAGGGAGGCCCCAGGGACTTCCTCATCATTTGGGATCTTGTTGGGTTCTCTGAAGGAAACTCACTGATAAGCCGTTGGGAGTGGTGTCACTTGGCGCTCTGCTCTCCCTCGGCCACTTTTTGGTCCCTAATTTTTTTTTTTTTGTGGTGCTGGGGATTGAACCCAGGGCCTTGTGCATGTGAGGCAAGCACTCTACCAACTGAGCTAGATCCCCAGTCCTCCTGATTTGGCCTCTGCTGCCTGCCTGGACCTGCATGTGCTTTAGCTGGGGCCTGGCCACCCACCATCTATTTCTTACTCTTTATTGCTCTTTTTTATTTCTCTGTTCTTTTAAAAAATTTTTTTTTTATCTTGAGAAAGGAAAAGATCATCTATCTCATTGTTATTTATATGAAAGTTAATAATAGTGCAGATGAGTTGTGGTGACTTAGCTGAGATAGGATTGGGGAGGGAAGCTACATGCTGTGTTTATCAGCTTTCTGTTGCTGTGAGATACCTGAGAAAAACAACTTAAGGAGGAAAGATTTATTTGGTCTCAGAGGCTTCAGTTCCTGGTCAACTTTCGGCCAAAGGTGAGGCAGAACAACAGAGTGGAGGTGTGTACAGAGCAAAGCCTCTCACCTCCTGGCACCCAGGAAGCAGAAAGGGAGAGTGTACCAGGGACCAGGGACAGGATATACCCTTCCTAGGTATGCCGGGTGACTCCCCTCTTCCAAGCAGGCCCCACCTTCTAAAGGTTCCACTACCTCCCAGTAGTGCCACCCACTGGGATCTGGGTCTTTTTTTTTTTTTTCTTTTTTTTTTAGTTGTAGTTGGACACAATATCTTTATTTTGTTTATTTTTATGTGGTGCTGAGGATCAAACCCAGGACCTCACATGTACTAGGCAAGCATTCTACCACTGAGCCATAACCCAACCCATTATTTATTTATTTTTGAGACAGGTTCTTGTCCTGTTGCCCAGGCTGGACTCTTAGCACCTGAGCTCAAGTGGTCCTCCTGCATCAGGCTTCTGAGTAGTATGTAGTCACAGGCTGCTGCACCCAGTTCATCAGACTTTATTTTCTGATTAGTCATGAGAGTGTTAAATATGGGTTGTAGATGTCACTAAAGTCTTTAACTTTTTTCTCTGCTTTGGGAACAAAGGTCCAGCGATGGGGCTTTCCTGGCCATTTCTTCCACAGATGGTTATTGCTCATTTGTGACATTTGAGAAAGATGAACTTGGCATTCCGTTGAAAGAGAAGCCTGTTTTGAGCATGAGAACTCTTGATAAAGCAAAGAAAACTAAAAGTCAGATGCACCAAGGATCTTTACCAGGACCCAGATTGGGAGAGGGGACCCCCAGCAGCAGAATCCACGACTCCAGCAGTCCCTCTACAAGTCCCTCGTCATCTGGACAGCCTCCAGCCCCAGCAGCCCTCAAGGACACTCCTTCAGTAACTCCTGGCATCAAAAACTCCTTGCCAGGGCCTTCAGAGGAGAAGACCCTACAGCCCAGTAGTCAAAACACGAAAGCGCACCCATCCCGGAGGGTCACTCTGAACACATTACAAGCCTGGAGCAAGACCACCCCCCGGTAAGCACATTTGACAAAACAAGAAGTTGACATTGTAAAGTGAACACTCCCCGTCTGTTCAAGGTAGAAGTCTGCAGTGAGTCCTTCCCGCTATTATGAGAGGTTGCTTGACATTAAATCTGAGGGCGTCATGTTCTGGCTCACAGGCCTCTGCCAGTTCCTTCATTCCTAGCTGCTGTGTAGGCACCCAGACAGATTTGGTCACAGCCTGCCATCCAGGACCATAACCACTCGCTGTGGTTAATCTGTGTTCCCAGACACTCTGCCTTTGCAGCCTCTGTGTCAGCCTCTTTTGGGTTCATTGTATTGTCTGTCCCCTTGGTAACACCAAAGTCCTCCTGAAAGACCCATCTGAGTGTGTCTTCATTGTTTAAGGACTTTGTGGCCCTTCAGCCCTTTACTCTGTCACCACCCATCACATTCAATAGCAGATGTTTGGTTTAGGCCTCGGTTTCCTCTGTTAGATTATGAGCCTGGAAATATGTCCTCATTTTGTACCTGTGCTCTTTTTCCTAAGATGGTACCAGGTGCTTCATGACAGGTGGGAAATAAAAGGGAGTGCTGTGTTAGCTTTCTGTCACTGAGATAAATGTCTGAGACAAGTCAGCCTAGAAGGAGGAATGAATGTCTTTCTTTGGCTCATGGTTTCAGAGGTTTTAGTCCATAGTCACTTGGTCCTGTTGCTCTGGGCCTGTGGTAGCCCAGTGCATTGTGGCAGGAACAGTGGTGGGGTAGCCTGCTCACTCATGGAGTCTGAGAAGCAAAGGTAGGGAGGAAAAGGCCAGGGAATCCAAATCCCCTTCAAGAGCATGTCTGCCAGCATCTTAATTCCACCGGTACCACTTCACAATGGCTCTTCCTCCCAGTAGTGTCATAGTCTTGGGAGCAAACCTTTAGATGTGGGCCTTTGGGCAACACTCAGTCAAGCTATAGCCAAGTGCCTTCTTTTTTTTGAGATACTGGGAATTGAACCTGTAACCTTGCACATGTTAAGCCAGTACTGAGCTATATTCCAGCCCTTTTTATTGTATTTTCTGATAGGTTCTTGCTAAGTTGCCTAGACTGACCTTGAACTTGAGATCCTCCTGCCTCAGTCCCCTAAGTAACTGGACTTACAGTATACCTTTAACCATTTTATTTGGTTCTTTTCTTTTTTTTTTAGTTGTCAACGGACCTTTATTTATTGATATGCGGTGCTGAGAATCGACACACATGCTAGGCAAGCTCTCTGCCCCTGAGCCCCAGCCCCTTATTTTGTTCTTCTTCTTTTTTTCTTTTTTTTAATTGGTACTGGGGATTGATCCCAGGAGCACTTAACCCTTTTTTAAAAATTTTGATACACAGGATCTTGCTAAATTGCTTAAGGCCTCATTAAGTTGCTGAGGCTAGTCTTAAATTTATAATCCCCCTGCCTCAGTCTGCCAGTTGCTGGGGATTACAGGCATGCACTACCATGTCTGGCTGTTTTGTTTTATTCTTGATTAGCACATAATAACTGTATGTTAATGTGGGGTACACAGCAATATTTTTTTATTTAAATATTTTTAGTTGTAGATGGACACAATACATTTATTTGTTTTTCTTTATTTGGCGCTGAGGAGCAAACGCAGGCCGCACACATGCTAGGTGAGTGCTCTACCACTTAGGCACAACCCCAGCCCCATACACAGCAGTATTTTGATACATGTATACCTCATGTCCTGATCAGATCATCTTAAATACTTACCATTTGCATGGTGGGAACATTCAGGATCCTGTGTTAAATGCACACCACTTGTTGTAACCACATCACCCTGCTGTGCAGTAGAATCCATTCCTCCTATCTAGCTGACCTTGGACCCATTGGCCAGCCTTTCCCCATCCCTCCTCCTCTTGCCACCCTGCCCTCCAGTTTCTGGTGGCCACTTTCCTAGTCTTGACTTCTACGAGATCAGCTTTTTTAGATTCTAGATGGTGCAACTATGTTGTTCTTGTCTTCTGTTCCTGGTTTCCTACCATAATGTTCTCCAGGTTTATCCATGTTGTTGCAAATGCCCAGATACCCTCCTTTCTGTGGCAGAGTAGTGCTCTGTTGTTTATAAGGAATGTCTTCTTGAGCTACCTGGTCACCAGGAACAAAGGGCTCCCTATGATGCTATGGCTATTTCTCCCCCTTCTTACCAGTCAGCTGACTTCATCCATGTTGCTGCCCCTGCCACAGAACGCTTTGCATGTCCTACTGACGCCAAGCAGTGCTGGCCTTTGGCTTTCCTTTCTTTTTACCTCTGATGCCCAGTTATCCCCTGTGACTCTGCACTTCCTCTCCACCAATCCCTCTACCTCCTCATGTTCCAGATGGACTAGGTGGAGAGGGAGATGACAGGGCAGGAATGGGAAGTGAGGCACAGTACGAGCACTCTCTGCCCCCATTCCCCGCTGTGCTCTAATGTCTTTATTGGCTTAGTCACAGTGTGGTTCAGGTGTAGTGCTCAACTCTTTCTAAATCTCTCATTTCTACAGAATAGCAGTATGGGTTTTGTTTTTTGTTTTTCTGTATGTTTTTAGATAGTGGAAGGCATTCTTTGAAATATTTTTGGTATTAAATTGCTTTCCTCTTCTGATTTCTTCTAAACTATTTACCAAGTTTCTTGCATTTGTAATTAAAAAGAGAAAAATAGTCATTGAAAAATTAAGGCTCTGGATTTTAAAAAAAGGATTATCTATGGTGCTTTCCATATGTAGAAATTTTGATAACCTTATGTATACAGTATTCAGTAAGGTGCTCACTGGACCGTTGTTAATTAACAGAACTCAGCTTTTGTTTAAAGCTTTTAGATGACTGGTTATGGTTTGAGTTGACCATTATAAGTGTGATAGTTAAACTTAGTAGGTGGATGTAATCCTTTCTAAATAACTGGGCACTATATGATCGTCTGAACTTTTTTTTGGAACTAGGGATTGAACCTAGGGGGCACTTAACTACTGAGCCACATCCCTACCCTTTTTTATTTTAAATTTTTTTTTTATTTTTGAGACAGTGCCTTGCTAAATTGCTAAGGCTGGCTTTGAACTTGTAGTCCTTCTGCCTCAGCCTCCAAGTCACTGGGATTACAGGCGTTGGACCACTGTGCCTGGCTCAGGTGAACTTTGGTAGTTTTGATATTTAATATCATACATAAATAAGTTTTGTAATACTAATGAGCCATTCTTTCCTTTTATTTTTTTAATCAAGGAGAATAAATTTAACACCCTTAAAGTCAGGTACACCACCAAATTCTGTACCAACCAGTATAATTTCTACCTCTTCCACAGAAGAAATTCAGTTAGGTAAGTGATGTTGTTAATGGTTTTAATGCTTCTCTTTTGTTCTTTTGGAAATTAGCACCACCCAATTTTATATCACTTCTAAGAGAGTAAGGATGCATCCTGATGCAACTGTCTTCTAAGAATCCCTGCCTGGATGTTTATCTTAAAATAAGGCAATCCCTGTGATCTGTCTTGAGTTCAGGAAGAGTGGTCTAGATTGGGTTTCTTGACCTGATGACTTCATGATTGGGCAGGATAATTTTGTTCTATTGTGGGGTATTATCAGCATCCTCAGATTGTACCCCTGCTCTGTGACATTTTCAAATGTCACCAAACATTGCCCACTTCCCTTGACAGACAGTTGCCCCTGATGGAGAACCGTGGTATAGATCCCATCTTAGCAACACAGGCTCGTGCTGGCAGTTCCATTCCTCATCTTGGCTCTGTGTTTTGTTATGTCAGCTTTAAGCCTACAGAAGTCCTCATTCATTTGCCTATTTTGTGTTTATTGATATTTCAGAGATGCCTGGAGACCCTCAGGGCAGTCCTCCAGAGCTCAAGCAGCCCAGACTTGACGAGGACCGAGGAAGCCCCCAAAGCCTGGACCCTTGCTAGGACCTTGACTGCTGCCCGTGGGCCTGCTGGGCAGTGCCTGGGCATGTAGCAAGGCAGCGAGGAGGGAGACGCCCAGGCCAGTGGCATCGGAGCCAAATAGACATTCAGAAGTTGATTTCTGTAACAGAAAAAGCACATGTACTGATTTTTCTCCAGAAATACGCATACTTTTGTATTTGGTATCCATCTTTACCATGGGGATGTGACTGTTGTAATAGACTAAATCCTCTTTTTGGTGAGTTTCTGAAACTGGAGCATTCAACATTATTTGAGGTGAAAATCAGTAAATCCTTCCTTGAAACTGTCAGGAAAGTACAGCTGTGCTGTGGGGGACTTGCAACACAGGAGCAGAGAGAAGAGAAAGTGATTTGAGGAGGTTTATATTGTTGATTTTTAGAATGTTAGAAGTGATTATTAGATTTAGCTTCTAATTAGTTGATTATTCAAATTTTAGAAGTTATGTTTTTTCCCTGATTTTAAAGGTAATAATGCTCATTCTGGAAAGTTAGTAAACTACAGTGAAGAAAAAAAATAAATGGGGCTGGAGGTGAGACTCCCTCATTATCTCACTATTAGAAGAAACTCTTGTTGATTTCTAAGCATATTTTCTTCTTAGCATTTTTATGGATTTTTCTTTTTAAAGACAGCTGAGATTTTACTTCAGATACAATTTGTATCTGAATAGGTTTACTTTTTAGATTGGCTTTTCAAAGCCAAAAAAAAAAAAACCCCAAAACAGCAGTTTATGTCTCTTGCTTTCCCTGGGACCCAGGAAAATCATATGTTCTCTTTTTCTATTAGGAATAAATGTGAGAGTTGGCACTGGGTGTAGGAGGGGCTGTTGTCGTCTGAGGGCGGCCATCTCGGGAGTTTGGAGCCTCTCAGCTCAGGACGTGCTTCCTGGGTGATGTGGTTGAGAGGTGGTTAGTTACCTGATGGCACATGGGCTAGGCTCACTTTAGAAGCTCATGCAGCTACTGTGCTGACAAGAGTTGCATGATGTCTGCTGCTTTCACACATGGCCTGGACAAGCCATGCAGATAAGGGTGGTGAGCCCAGGGCTTCCTTCCCAGGCTGGAACAGACCACAGAGTGAAGGATGGAGTGGGCTGAGGAGAGGAAGAACATTCTTCTTAGCTTTGTCTGTAACAACAAAGAAAATGGGAAGAAGCATCAGTTTGTTGCTTAATCCACATCTGGGTAAACCAGAAGGAGTTTGCCATTCTTTAGATAAGAAGGTGTAAAGTCAGGATGACTCATGGCATGGAGAACTGACAGGTGAATGTGTATGCACTTGTTATAATGCAGGTGTGGGTTACATCAAGAAGGAAAAGGTTTAACTTGTCATGTACTGTCCCTTTTGACCAGTGGTTCTAAGTTGTAGCTGTGCACTGAGGTCACACCAAGAACTGACATCACCCCTAGGCCTGGGGCCCCCGCCAGAAAAACAGCTACAAACCACACATGTAGCTGGTGGTTGTTGATCATTTTGATCACATGTTCCTGATCTCAGTGAGCAGCCTGTTTCCCAGCCACACTCAAGGCAGGGACAGTGTCAGGTTTAAAAAAATCTGTCTCTTGTACAACTAAAATGGGGGAACTAAGGGGGAGGCAGGGACACACCTTCAGCCAGACTACTAACTGCCTGTTCATCAGCTGTCACTCTTGAATATAAATGATAAAATTGGCAATAAATGACAGTGATGTCACTTTATTGTGGTCTAAAACCCAGCCCGTCTCTGTCTGCATAATTCGTTGGGGTCTGTCTGCATAATTCATTGGGGATGCCTTTTGCACAGGAGCCCACCTGCAGGCCAGGTGCTGTTCTCTTACAAACGGTCTACCACTCTGGGTGGGGTTCATATGGGGTTTTTGTTGTTTCCAGATGTCTCCAGTAAGTCTGCTGTTAAATATTAGTCCCTGCTGCTAGATGGCTGGAAGGGAATGAGGCCCAGGAAACTGCCTGGGAGAACAAGTGTGACAAGGGCAGGGTCTGCCTCTGCCTGGGTGTTTCAGGAGGGATGCTGATTGGTGGCCTGGATAGCACTGAGGAGAGAGGCAGTAGAGGCAGAGCCTCCATTGCACCAGGGTGCAGGGGCCTCTGGGCCTGCAGTGATAACCAGGCTGACCAGCCTTAAGGAGGCGCCCACAGGCAAGGCTCCCTGGCAGTCTGGATGCCACAGTGGGTAGCAGCCAGTCAGGTCTTATTTAGTCCTCCTTTGCTCAGTTTTGCCCCTGTTGTCTTTGCTGAAAGCACCACTTGCCACTTTGCTAATGCCCTGACCCTTCTAACCAAAATAGTTATCAGTGTCCATTTTAAGCAACTTTGTGGCCCTGAGGCCTTAGCGCTGGGGATATCCTGGGTGCTAGAAGATGGACTGGTCTACTCCTGTTCCCACTTTGGAGTCTCATGTACTCCCACAGTTCTGAAAGCCTGGATTTTACCTTCTTGGTAGAGGAGGGGAATAGGAGCAAAGACAGGAGAGCCATCCATGCTGAAATGAGAAATTGAGCGAAAGCAGCATACAGAGCCAGGGACATGGTGGCTAGGCCTGCAATCCCAACAACACAGGAGGCTGAGCTAGGAGGATAGCAAGTTCAAAGCCAGCTTCAGCAACTTAGTGAGAGTGCACAAATGAATGAGTGGCCAAAATCACAGGCGTCCCCTGTGTATCCAAGCTCCAGACACTGTTCACACACCCCTTCTCATGGCCACTAGAGGTCACTGTTCCCACTATGAATCTACTCAGCAATTGTGTTTCCTAGGCGGGAAGGCACTGTCACTTCAGGCCCACTGCCCCTCGATGAGAGCGAGGGCAAGTAGGGCCAGATACCTATACTAGCTTTGGCCCATGGTGACCAGACCTGGAGTAGAGCACTGCTCAGCAGCTGGGGTGAGAGGATAATGAAAGTAATACATGAGTGCTCATTGCTTTTTTTGTTCATTCAAGAAATGTTTATCAAGTACTTTCTCGTCTCTGGAGGACATATCAGAGGACAGCAGAAATTCATCTCTGCCCTCATGGAACTGATGTGATTGGGGGACCAACAATAACATAAGTAGGTTTGCATTAGGAGATGACCATGGGAAAACAGGGTGAGGGGTCTCAGAAGAGCTGGTTACAGCCTGGCTTGAGACTCAGGAAGGGTGAAGAAGGAGGTGGTCAGATCAATCGGGTGTCCTGGGTTCATCCAGGAGTGGGACGTCTTTGTCCTCTCAGGTACCCAGTACACTTAGCCCTGTGAATAGGAGGGTGGTCTGACTGGGGACCCCTCGCAGGGGCAGAGTGGGGAAGGCACCTGCAGTTAGGCCATTAGAGGTTGTTCCAGTTTTTGGAATCTAGGCAGCACATGACATGAATTTTAGACCTACAAGCTGGCACACAGGGACTGGTGAGGGACGATGGTGGCAGGGATCTTAGGCCAGTGGTCAAGTGTTTGTGGACTTCTCCCCAAAATGTGGCTGTTGAGTGTGGGAGCCAAGGCAGTGGAAGGAGCATGGGACTTTGGAGCTAGAGGGGTGAAGTTATTTCTGTATCAGTCACTAAGTTGCTGTGTGACTGCATGTTTTAGTTCACCTGCCCAGGCCACAGTTTCCTCATCTATAAAATGGAAATGCAGCATTTTCCTTGTATGTTTAAAGGATTAAGAGAGGCAGGTACCTCCTCCTTAAGTTGAGTTGTATTTTCTCAGTGATTTCTCGGAGGTTAACCACTGTATTAGGATTCCCCAGAGGACAGAACTGACAGGATATGAGTATGTAGGGAGATTTTGGTATAAGGAATTTGCTCATGTGATTATGGAGGCAGGTGAGTCCAGTATCCCTACTGTGTACTGGTATTCTGGGCACCCAGCAGGGCTGATGGTGGTTCAGAGGAGCCTGAGGATTCTCTGCAGGAGTCTCTCTTGCTTGGGACTCAGGGGGGGGCAGTCTTTGTTCTTTTCAGGCCTCCAGTTCACTAGGGGAGGCCTACTGCTTTATAGAAGGCAGTCTGTTTAGTCAAAGTTCTCTGATTTAAATGTGAATCTCACCCCAAAATACTTGCCAAGTTGACACACAAAGTTAACCACTAACTCAGGCCAACCCTGGGAACTGAGATGCATGCACATGGCTTGAGCTGACCAACAGTCTAGACTCTGAGCAGCAGTTGGTCTGGATCCCAAAGCCGTGGCTAATCTGGCCTCCCAGACATTTAGAGATAACTCCTCTCCATCCAGATTGCCTCATCTACAAAATGAGAATACATGATACTCTGAGAACCTCCAAAAGAGCAGTTTAGGAATATTGAAACAGCATTAAAAGCAGTCTCTTTCCTATAGAAGAAACAACCAAAAGTGCTTGTGAGTTAACTTGTAACAGGTCTTAAACAATCACAGTGATTTTAAAGTTGCAGACTGAGCCCTTGTGCCTGGCTTGAACGGGGATTCTGCCATTTGCTGTGTGACCAAGGATGATGTTGCTTAATCTTTCTGAGCTTTGCCTTTCTTGTCTAAAATGTAACAGAAAGACCCTCATTATGGATTTACATGGAAGAGTAGGGAACCTGGTGCAGGTGACCCCTGAATGAGCTTCTGACCTATCAGCCATTCTTGCCCCCTTTCTGACCTCCTTTGCCACTGAACATGACCCCCTCCTTTATGGGAGCACGTGCTGCAGGTGTTTGGATTAAAAAACAATGCTTTTGGGCCCCATCTCACATTGCTCCTCCTAGATGACCTTTGCTCTGCCAGAAGCTGTAAAATTAACTCCACAAAAGTCCTACTGGGTAATTGCATTCTTTGTCACTGAGAGATATCAACAGAACTCATTAAATGGGGAGATCCCAGCTTTGGGGCCATGTTGGGGCATGACAGGATTCACACTGTTCAAGGCAAGGAAAGACCTGCCTGTGGCAGGCAGGCAGGGTCCTGGAGCATCCTGAGGGATGGGAGATGAGCAGTCATGATGCCTGCAGGAGGCTAGCTCTGGGGATGCCCACTAGAGAAGGCCAAACCAGAACGGCCTCTGGAGGAGCCAACCTTAGGCAGGAGGTGGGAGCCTGTGACAGCTGCAGGAACTTGAAATGACAATTTGTTCACTTCTTCAGGTTGACAGGGCTCCAGTTTTAGCATCTCTGGTGATGGCTGAATGCTGAGTGAGGCTCTCATACTCACAGTTGCAAAAGGGTATGTGTGTGTGTGTGTGTAATATTTTTTAGTTTTAGATGGACACAGTATCTTTATTTTACATTTATGTGGTGCTGAGAATGGAACCCAGAGCCTCGTGCATGCTAGACAAGTGCTCTACTGCTGAGCCACAATCCCAGCCCCAAAAGGGTGTTTTAAATAGCCAGTGCTTAGGAAGTAACACAAAACATCATGTACCATGCTGGTAGGAAACGAAGTATGGGAGCCTCTGTCTTAATTTCCTAGAGCTGCCATAATGGATTTTTTTTTCTTTTTTTTTTTTTGTAGCACTGGGGACTGACCCAGGGCTTTGCACATACATGCTCTACCACTGAGCTACATCCTAGTCCATGTAATTAATCTCAAGTGGCTTAACAAAAGCTCACTCTCTGGATTCTGTAGGTATCAGCAGGGCTGTGCTCCTCTAGAGGCTCTAGGGGAAGACTCTTCTTGCCTCTTCCCACTTCTGGTGGCTCCTAGTCTTCCTTGGCCTGTGGCTACATTGCTCCAGCCTCTGCTTCTGTCTCCACATGATTTTTGCCCTCTTGTCTTCTCCCTTCTCTTAAAAGGACACTTGCCTTTAGTTTCAGGGTCCACTTTAATCCAGGCAATCTATTCTCAAGGTCCTTAACTAATTATGCATACAAAGACCCTATTTCCAAATAAGGCGACTCTCAGGTGAGTGGAAATTTGGAAGGCCAGAAGACAGACCTGTGGGAAAGGTTGTCTGGAAAGTAGGAGCCAGTGTCACATGGCTAAACCCAAACCAGGAAAAAAGTACTTAATTGCTACAATGCAACAAGTCCTCTGAGCTGTCCCCAGCTGGCTAGGCAAGGCCCTCCAAGTTCCCAGTGCCTTGGCTAGTGCTGGTTGGAAGAGATGGTGATAGCCCTCAGAGAGACTGGTGAAGTCAGCTAATTGCCACCTGTACTAGCTTGCTGGAACCTCAGCAGGTCCTGGGGGCGTGAGGAAACTGAAGCAGAGAGTGCTTAAGAAGCATGTTCAGTTTCTTAAAGTTATAGCTAGAACCTAGCTGTGAGTCCCTGGCTCTGAAGCCTGCTCTTACATACTGTACTACCAGAATGCATCATCATACAGGGAATGAGACCACATAGCCAGCCTGAACCTGAGTGTACCTGCATGAAGGCAAACCCCCAGGACATCAAGGGAAGCCAGTCCAAATCCTTGCCACATCCATCCTGTTTTCCCTTCAGTAGTCAGAGAGAGGTGGGACTGGGTCGCCTAACCCCCAGGGGGCGCTCAAGACACAGCCTGTGAGAAGATCCAGATGAAGACCAGAAGCTAAGTGGGTGTGAGCTGGGTGTCTGGAGAAAAGGCTCTCCCCCTTGACTGGCTCCAGCCCATGCAGCTGGTGGTCCCAAAGGACAGTGTTGGAGAATGGGCATAGGGTAGAGGGAGGTGGGCCTATTTTTAAAAGTGGCCAACTTGAGAGGGCACATTTAAACTGAGACTTGACTATGAGGAGAGATGAAGGTGGGCATTTCAGGCAGGAGAAACAACCGGAAACCCTGAGGTGGGAAGGCCTGGCCTGTCTGGGGAATGGA